CTCATTAAACAAGTCTAGTTCTTTCTGCGGATGCTCTCAGGGTGGTGGCGGCAGGCGCGACCTGCAGAATGACTCCTGCAGGGAGTTTGTAAACCTGTGCCTGCCATGAAAATGCTCTGCCAGCAACTGCATCACCGGCACCGAGGACTACGCAGCCATCCAGATGATGAATGTGGCCAAGGTTGAGGAGGGGACACGCAGGTTCAAGGGCCAGCTTAAAACCTCTGCGAACCGCCATTGGCAGGCTGGGCGAGTCCGGTGACTCCCTTCTCCGACTGGCCAAGGCCCATGGCATCATCTCAAAGGACTTCCGACTGGAGGGCGTTACGGATGTGAAATTTGTCATAAATAAATAGTGAACCATCCTCCCACCGCCAAAAAAAGGAGTCTAGAGCTGGGCGGTTCCAGGGAGGGTGCTCTGCTGCTCTGGTTTGGAGCTGGGCTATTTTCCTTGCCTTCCCTCCTAACACCCCCACCATCACGTCCTCACACAAGGGCACCTGAAAAAGAGGAGGCCACAAGGCACCCCACAGCCACCCTGGATCAACTCTTAGCAAAGAGGAATTTCCCTGGCTGGCTCACACAGGTGGTTGTTGTGGACCTCTGCCTGGTTTCAGGAATTGTAACTACGGTCCCGTGTCGCCCCCTCCCCCCACTGTAGCTAAGGATGAGCGAGTGACCTCTGGAATGTGAGCCACAGGAGAAAAAGCTTGTCTCTGGTAGCAAATGCTGCCTCAGTTTCCTCTCTCTTCCCCCAAAGCATGGTTGGAAGTCCATGACAGGTAAGTCTCCTCACAGTGGGGAGCAACCTGAGCCAGACTTGACCACTTGGGAGGCCTTCATGGGGTGGAGGGGCTGCAACAAGGAGTGAGCAATAGACCCATGCCCTCCAGCTATGTGACATAGCTCAAGTCCCCACATCCTCTGGGAGGAGCGCTTCCTGGCTCTCATCCCCTTAAGCCTGAATACCTGATGGGGAGGGGTGCAGCTCCTTGCCTTGCTAGAGGGTGTCCTGGGGGAAAATCTGGCATCACAAAGAATTCCTGAAAAACCTGTGAAATCTGCTCTACCAAGAGTGCTCTTATTCATATGATAAGGGTCTGAGCAGGAAATGAGTATGTCTCCCAAAGTTTCTGCAAACCCCCTTTCCTGACAGACTCTGACTCAGACTAAGCCCTCAGGTCTCTTTGAAATGTTACCTACTGTTTGATGCTTGCCACCCTGTATTCCTGTGTATTACAACCCAATAAAAGGCCCATGGAGGAGGGGGCTCAACGCCTTTTTCCCCTGAGAAACTGCTCATGGCCCTTTCCTCTTGAGGGATCGGCCACCTCTCTTCCCCAAGCAGATCATGTCTCAGTCTTGTGTATTTTCATCTGTGGCGGACAGGGGGACTTCTGGGAAAAGTCGCTCCTACAAGTGATAGTTCATTCCCTGGGAAGGGGATGGGGCCACCTTCCTAAACACCTACCTGACTCCTGAACAAAAGCGGGTTCTGTTAGCAGGGGAGAAGCCAGGGGCCCCTGGAAACATCCTCTCCTTGGTGTATAAGCGCTGGTCTCCTCCCCTGGGGGAATTGTGCCCCTGGGTTGAGGGGAAGGAGGGACATGCTATCTGGGAGCCTGGTCTGCACACAAGCCAGGGGTGTGGGGTAGAATAGTTAACGTTTACTGAGCACCTACTGTGTGCCAGGCCCCGCAGTGGGTGATTTCATCCTCTTCTCATTTATTTCTTACAGTAGCCTTGTGAGAAATGAACTTGTTCATCCCATTTTGCAGATGAGAAAACTGAGCCTGAGCCCTGATCACGCATGAGGTGAGAGGCTGAACTGGAATAAGGCCTGAGCGGGGTGACCTTTCATTAATGCTTAACTGTGTGTCAGGCACTGTGATGGGTGTGTCACCTGGATTAGGTCATTTACCTAATGACAATTTACCTAAGCAGGCACTGAAGCTTGGGGAGGTAGAGAAGACTGCCCAGGGTCCCACAGCCTAGTATTGGCCGAGCCGAGCTGTGAGCCCCACTGCCAGAAGGTCGCCCATAGGCCCCCAAATTTGGGGAAAAGCCCCAGCCTGTCCTGTAGCCTTTTAGAGATTGTTAGCTTCAGCAGACAAGCTGGATAAATAAACAAGAGGCTCAGGAAGCTCCTTTTCCCTTTTGACGTCCCGAATCTGCTGGGACCACATGAGCACCACCTAGCTGCCTTGACATCTGTCATTAAACAGGCAAATAATTCAACCTTTAATGTGATAGCAGGAAATGTTAAGTACTGAAAAGGAAAATAAAACAGGATAAGGCAATAGAGAGTGATGATGTGACTGCTTTAGAAGAGGTGGTCACGGAGGGCTTCTCTGAGGAGGTGACAGTCGAGCAAAGACAGAGGGACAAGGGATGTGATGGAAAGAGCCCTCTGTGCCAGTCCTTAACAGAAGAGCATTCCAGGCAGAAGGAAGAGCACGTGCAAAGGCCCTGAGGTGGGAGTGAGTTTGGCTCGCTTGTGGAAGGATGAGAGATGTGTGTGGTTCAAGCTGAGTGGGTGAGGGGGAGAGAGGGGGCACGACAGGCCAGGGAGGTGATGGTGGAGGAGGCAGATCGTGCAGGTCCTCGTAGCACCTTGTAAGGACCTGGGCTGTGCTCTGAGTGAGATGGAGCCATGGCGGGCTCTGAGTGGGGCTCAGGGACAGGATCTGCTTAGGTGCTAGTGACTTACTTAGCACCTGGCTAAGTCAGGACAGTAAGAAGCTAGGAAAATTCCTGGGCGAGTGGAATGGGGGAACTGAGACAAGAAAATGATACAAGGCCCATCAGTCTGAGCGACTGACAGCCAGGTGGTCTCCCTTAATCAAGGACACGAGAGCAAATGGTTTATACTGCTCCTCTCTGACCAGAAAACATCGTCACCTCCCTGGCCATAAACCACAGGCGTCAGGGAAGAGGGGAAGGCTGATGCAAACGGAGAGATAACGCGGAACAAAAGGAGCCAGCCCCGGAAGAAGCTGCAGACCCCCCTTTCAGCTCCCCTCCCCTTAATCTCCAGAGAAACAGCACCTCCCTGCTTCTCCTTGGAGTTTCCCCCTCCCAAATTCCCACGTTTCCCCTGCATAAACTTGCCTCTGAAAGCTCAAGGTAAAGTGGGTGTTTGGGTTTTTACCTGCCCCCTTCTCAGAGTGCTGGGCTCTGAGATTAATTATAATCCAATCCCTGTCTCCGCTTTTTGGCCGAGCCCTGGACTCAGAGGCCCTCCGGTTTCAACACTGGAAAAGTCCGTGTTTGCGCTGCTCATCGCTGCCAGAACCAGTAAGTAGAAATAAGCAGCAATTGCATCTTTACGGGCTATCCATATCCAGAGGCCAGCGATCTGAGAAGCTGGCAGGTTGTCTACCCTCAAAAAACCGTCTTAACGTTTCCTCTCAAGCCGGTCCTTGTACAAGAAGAAGAAAGGGTAGGTAAGGGGTCTGGGAAAAAGCTTAATTGGATAAGAGTTGCAGTCGAGTTTCCCGGTACTTCTTTATCGGCCGATTGACACCTTTTTATCTGCATTCCCTCTCTGGAATGAAATGGCCTCGATGTGGGGATATCATCCGCTAGCAGACCCGCTGGGGCAGGAGGGCTGAATTGCTGGTCAGCCTCCTGAAGTCACGTAGGTCCTGTCACTCCGATTCTGGGAATAACAGCTTTCCACATGCATTAATCACGTAGGCTTATCAACTGTAGCGAAGGCTAAAATCTTTAACTCTTGAGTTCCCCATCCCTAACAGGATCCTTTTGACTCCTGGGGGGAGAATGGGCTGTGGAGAGATTCGGGCTGAAGCCAGGAGCCTGGGCAGGGGTAGCAGCTCCTAAGGGGGCTGTTGGGAAGAGGACAAGGAACCTGTGCAAACTCCCCCGCACTGAGCAGCAAACATAGGACCAGAAGCAAAGCTCCCAGGTCCCAGCTGCACACTCGGCCCACAGTCTCACAAAGCTCATCCACGCCAAGCACTCAGTGTGCCTGACTCCCTCTTACAGGCAAGTTTTCCTCAGTTCCTCGCACCTGCCCTGAGCTAAACACACTCCGATCAGTCTGGTCCCAGATAAGTCATTGGCCCCAGAAAGGGTAAGTTACCTGTGCGAGGTTGGCCGGGGTGGAAATGGGGGCCAGCGGGTTGCAGGGAGTGGGCACCGTGCTGCAAACGTAACAAAAATACCTACCGTGAGGCCCAGGCCTTGGAGCTAGGAGCCCGGGTTCTCACCGGAACCCAGGGGTGGTCTCCTGCGGAGACGACGGTGGCGCCTTAACGACCAGGTAATCCTGACAATGGCTCCCACATCCCGAGCCCCTGCCACGGCCCAGGTACAGGGCTGGGCGCTTTACACTCACTGGCGGGGCCCTTACAGCAGATGCGGACTGGGGAGATGGAGCCCATCCAAGAAGCTCTAATACCCGCCTCCCTACAGTGGTGCAGGTAGTACACCTGTGGGTAGAGTCCAGCCCAAACTCGCCCCCCCCCCCCCAGCCCCACCGCAGCACAGCCAGCTCAAGGTCTCTAAGTGGTCCAGGTGGGGATGAGACGAGGAGGGGGCTCGGTAGTGGAGGCGGTTTAGGTGGAAAGTGCCCGGAAGTCCCCCATCCATCACCAGTCACCCTCCCATCTTCATAGTCCCTTTCCTATCCCCCCTCCCCCACGCCCCCTTTCTTCCCTCACATGCTTTCTCCCTCCTTGCACATCCTCTCCCTTTCCGTCACCACCCCCACGCCGCCCCACCACAACCCTTCCTCCCACCCGCGTCTCCCTTTTCCTCCATCCCACATTTCCCACCCCCCTCCCCTCTACACATTCCAGGCCCAGGGGGTGGGGTCCTATCCCGGCTCCAGCTGGGAGGAGGGGGCCTCCGAGAACGCCCACAGCGACCCCTCGGGACCTGGGAGAGATCAACGGCCCCGCCCCTCACCCCTAAATGGGCCCAGCCTGTAGGCTGAACAGCGGGCGTAGGGGCGGAGAGAGGCACCTGGGTGGGCCGGGCCACCCCCGAGCCCGCCCGCAGTCTCTCGCTCTGGGTCGCTGCACGCTCGCCCTGGGCTGCGCTCCTCGGACCGTGCTCCTCGGACCATGCCCTGGGCCGTGCTGCTCGGCCTCCTGGCTGCGCTGTTGCTGCTGCTGCTGCTGAGCCGCCGGCGCACGCGGTGAGTGTCCCCCAGCCCCGCCGGCCCGCGCCGCCCTGCAGGACAAAGGGGGCGTCTCCGCTCCTTGGCCTGGGCAGCAGCTGGGGGTCGCGGAGCCAGCCGCAGGCCGGAGCACCTCCCCCGCTCGCCCCCGCCCCAGCGCTGGGGGTGGGGCTTCCACTGCCACCCACACCCCCTGAGCGAGCCCCTCAGAGATGGGAGTCCAGGCCTCTTCCACAAGGGGCTCCCGCACTTATCCCCGGGAGGGGTCGGACCGGGTGCCACCCCACGTCTGCAAAGTAGCGGGGTGGGACGGCTCAGAAAGGTGTGGGGACGCGCGGGCTAGGTCCCAGGGGGCTGACACCTACCACGTAGGCTCGGCCGGCCGGGCCTGGCCCAGAGCTCTGGGACCTGCGCTGGGGTTCCAGGTGAGGACCCAGGGTTTGCGGGTCAGGAAAGGTGCATGGTCGGGCTCGGTGGAAGCCCTCTCCCGCTCTCCAGCTGCTACCCGGATCCAGCACCTACTTAGTTGGTGCAAACCCCGGCCTTGTTCTCTGCTGTCCAGTGGTGCAGCCTCCTCCCCGTCCCTATTCCACAGATGGGAGGAACGGGGCTGGGGACAGGCCCTCTGACCAGCCCCGAAACCAGCTTCCACAAGAGTCCCGGACCTGGACCAGGGGGCTGGGTCGGCTGGGTGTTTCCCTCTGCCCGAGAAGAAACTGAGGCCCAGGAAGGGGTCTCCCCTGCCGGAGGGTCCCTTGGCCTGGGCAGAACCAAAGTGAAATGTCTCAGCTTCCCAGTCCCACAGGTTTTTCTGCTCCATTGAGAATCTGCAGTTTAGGAGAAAAAGTGAAAAACTCATACCCCTCAAGTCAGGGAGGTAACAGCAAGCCTTTTTCGTTCTCTAAAACACTCAAGAGATTAATTTGCAGAAGGAATAGCTGAATGCCTTTGACTTAAAAACAAATACCCCGTTAGGGATAAGCCTTTCTAACCACCCTTCCAACAATCCTGGACTTCTGCTGTTGATCCGTCTGGGGCGACCTTCCAGATTTCTAGAGTACACTTTTCATTTTAGACTAGCGTTATACTTACCAAAAAAAGTTGCAGAGAATAGTACAAAGAGTTCCCAAAGACCCCTCACCCAGTTTCCGCGCTTGTTAACATTTTTCCCCGTGTAATATACACTTGTCAAAACTAAAACCCAACTCTGGTCTGTTACATCTAACGAAACTGCAGGCTTTATTTGAATTTCAGCAGTTTTTCCATTCATGTCTTCTTTCTACTCCGGGGTCCAATCCAGGATATCATAACTCCTCAGGCTCCCCTGCTGCTTTTACAATTACTCGTACACATGTTAGGCCATTGGGCGTGAGCTGGTAGATAAGACAGGGCAGTGTAAGAGAGTGTGTGTGTGTGTGTGTGTGTGTGTTTAAATCAGAGTGCTTGAAAGTTCCAGAAATTGTCTGGAAACTTTTTACTTTTAAACAATATGTTAGTTGACTTTCCAAACAAGAAGTTCATGATATTTTTCTTCAACAATCGGATGCATTTCCAGGTGAAATTGAACACCATGTATTCAATCATTGGCCTGGAAAAAAAAAGAAAAAAATATACAGTGCTGTTACTTCATAAAAAAGAAAGAAAGAAAAGACAACAAATGCGTTTCCCTATGATGAAATGAATTGTTTTCCCAAGTTGTTGGGCTTTTTGGGTCCTCTGTGCAGAGGTGCGTTCAGACTGTGTGTTGGCTTCTCTCTCACTCCAGACTGCAGTTTCGGAATCTCTCCAGGCTGCTACGTGGAGACCTAACTCAGTCTTTTGATTTTCTGTGTAGGATTCCGTAGTGTGAACAGTGGCTGGCTTCTTTATGCCTTTGTATTCCTGTCCCTACTGGTGGATTTTTAGGTTGTTTCCTGTGTTTTTTTGCTATCTTCGATGCTGAGCTGTGGTTTTCCTGTGGGGCGTCCCGGTCTCGCTTTTTTCGGAGTGACTGCATTTTTCTTGGGGTGATGGCGGCAGCCATGGGAGGCAGGGGACCTGGGTGCTCAGTGTATGACAATTTGTAGCCTCTAGGAACAAGAAGTCCAGAACCACTCTCTGCTTCAGTTTCCCAGTCTTCAAAGTGAGGCTGATGCTGGTAATAGTAGGGAGAGCGGAAGTGCCAGGTTAGCAGGGATGCCGGTTTAACATTATTTTAGCTAATACTTGCTAGATCCAGAGAACTAGATTAGATCTAAATTAGATCTAGATCTAATTTATCTTTGAGGGCGAATTGTTTATTTTTATATCTGTTGGCAGTTTAGGGGGGGTCAGCAAGTGGGTACAGGGGAGAAGTGTGGGTGCAGGAGTCACTGACAGCTGGGGGATAGTTGCACGGACCCTGGGGAGACCCAACAGGGACCCCAGTTTAAGCCCCCATTCTCATTTCCTCCTCCCGACTCAGTGAGAGGTGCTCTTTTACACCCATTGGACAGAGGAGGAAACTGAGGCTGAGAGAGGCCAAGCAATTTGCCCAGGGTCTGCCTGGATTAACAATCTGGGCTGCATGAAATTTTAATTCCTAGGAAAATTGACTTCTCACTCTTTGCACACATTGTGTTTGTGATCTGAATGCTCAAAAGCCTTAGAGCCCTGACTGGCATGGCTCAGTGGGATGGGTGTCGTACTGTAAGCCCAGAGGTCAGAGGTTCGATTCCCAGTCAGGGCACCTGCCTGGTTGGCAGACCCGGTCTCCGGCTGGAGTCGTGTGTGAGAGGCGACCAATCGATGTTTCTTTCCCTCTCTCTTTCTCTCCCTCCCTTCCCCTCTCTCTATAAATAAATAAATAAATAAATAAAATCTTTTAAAATAGTGTTGGAGGCACGTGGTGTTAGGATAGTGAGAGATGCAGCTGCCACCAGAAGATCCTTAAGACAGGACAAATAACCAAGTGCTGGAAAAAGAGGTGGGTGCTGCTGATGCTGTATAGACGGTGGACCAAAGTGTGGGTCAAAACAAGCAAGGCCCCCACTCCCCTGGGGTCATGCCTTTCTCCTGACTGACCCCTGGTATAACACTCATCACCCCGTCTTATGGCCCGGGCCTCGAAAGGCTGAGTGACCTCCCTAGGGTCGCACAGAAATTCTATTCCACATCTAGCGTGTTCCCAAGTTTATGCTTTTTCCAGTAAAAAGAAAAAAGCACTGCTTCAGTCCATCAGCAACTCTCTCTAGGTGTGGCTCTGTTCTGTTTAAAATGAAAACCATTTACTTATGAAAAATTTCATCTAAACAGAAAAATAGAAAGACTAGTATAAGAACCCTCACATACCCATCCCCTAGATTTGACAGTTGACAACATTTCAAAACAAATTACAAGGGTCACACTATCTTACCACTATCTCAGCATGCATGTCAAAAAACAATGACAATCGCCATTCTGTTCTCTTGAGAATATAAAAAATAATTCTTAATGTCATCTAGTTCCAAGTCCAAAGTCAAGTTTCTGCAGTTATGGAAAGAATTTTGAAGCCCAGCTTGCTAACCGTGAGTGTGTCCGCCTGGGAGGGGCGGTGAGCTGGGAGTTAGGAATCTGACTCCTGTGCCCGCTGAGGCCATGGGCTGCCACGTGAGTATCAGAGACCTCGCTTTCCTGGCCTGTGTTTCTCCATCTGTTCCCTGCGCTGGCTCATGTCGCTGGTCTTTCACGCCCCAGCCACTTTGCCAGGCTGAGTGAACATCTTGCTCTTCCGGCTTGTGTGACCGCTGCGGGGGGCCCTGGGAGAGGTCTCCCAGGTGGGAAGCTCCTGTTCTGGGAGACCAGAGGCCACAGGTAGCCTCAGGTGAGGGTTCCTGGTGGTTCAAGGGCTGATCTTGGCCCTTGCAGAATATGGAATTTCTAAGAGCAAATCAAGCTGTCTTTTTCCAACATGTACTAATCAGAGGTCACCAAATGGTGGTCTGTGGCTGGATTCAGCCCCAGGTGGGTGTGGCGTGTACCACACAGCACAGGGGGAGAGAACTGGGGAACTCCACACACAAAGCTCCGGATTTCCAGCTTCTTGTGAAAAAAATTGGTAAGATCTAAAAACACTTGCCTGGGAGTTAGTTAGTAGTAGAGTCCTTGCTAGACCTTGCCACAATCCCTACCACTCTCTATTGCCTCTCCAACATTCAGCTGTTGTATTTATTACTGTGCAGGGGTTTTTTTATGTTGAGAAACAATTCTCTGAATCGGTGTCTATTATACACAAAAACAGGAAAGCAAAACTAGAGCAAGATGGCCACGTGCTTTTTCCACACAGCAGGAGTCCACGAGAGGGGGTAGTGAGAGAAGGTTAGGGAGGCCCTGGGTGAATGGCAACCAGCCCCCTTCTGTTCTTCCATTAAATCCTCCCAGAGCCCGAGGCCCTGAACTGAGTTGAAACTACTGGACAGAGAGGTTGGGCAACGCACCAGCATTGCACAGCAAAGTGATGCTGCCTTGGACAAGCCAGAACATGGATCATCTGGGAGCTGCTTAACCTGCACTAGCTCCCTTAACCCTCTTAGCGACTCTGGGAGGCAGGTGCTGCTCACCGAGCACCAACTATGTATGTGATTCATTCATCTGACGCCTATTTATTAAGCACCTACTGCGGGGCCCGGCACTGTAGCCATTGACAAGTGCCTGACCTCGTGGAGCTTCCGTCCAGTGAAGGTGCAATCCTTTGAGACGCAAAGGTGGGGAGATCCACCCTGACCCCCTCTCCTGATGTGCAAAGGGTTGAGTGGAGAGGGACAGGATAGGTGGTGGGGTTGGCAGAGGCACCTGCGAGTGAGGAATGGGCAGTTTTTGGAGGACCGTACATGATGGGAATTAAAACTCAGAAGAGGTGTCTTGGTGTCCGAAACCAGGGAGGGCAGGCAGCAATCAGCTGTGTGGGCGGGAGCCTGGCAGTGCCCGAAAACAGTGAGAGTGTCAGTGGGAGAGGCTAGAGACCGCAGACCCCAAAATAGAGCCTCCTTCGCCCCACTGGCCAGGCTGAGTCACACTGGCATGTGGCCTGGGTCTGAGTTAGACTGGGCGCTGGCGGAGCCTGCATCACGCCAGGGGCCAGACGCCTGGCCGCCCAGCTTCCTGCCTTTGTCTGCACCTCCTTGGGACTTTTCTAGGGAAAGATGAAAGCTGCCAGAAATAACACCTGGCTTGTTGGGGAGCTCAGGCCGGAATAAAGGGTAGGAAAGGAAGCCCCGGCCCCACCCGCATCCCCAAAGACCTCTTAAGGTAAAATCTCAGGCCCTGCATTTTGCACAGGTTGCTGAAACCTCTCTGTGTCTTAGTTTCCTCATCTGCAAAGTGGGGATGCAGATGTTCACCTGGGGGGACTGGGGCTGGGGTAGCCTCCCTGCAGTCAGACCTGCCTGGGTTAGAAACCCAGATCCTCCACAGTGGGTCCCGGGGTAAGTGACTCAGCCCCTCGGCCTCAGTTTCACCTGCTGTAAAATGGGCTTGATACTGACTATTCCCTCCTCCTAGGGTTGGCCAGGGCTCACAAAGTATTGGCCATTATTACCAAGCAAGGACACCTTCAGAAAATGCACAGCACCGGACACATTGTTTTTACTCAGTAAGCGGCGTCCAGGATTCTATGGGTCCGCCTCCTCAGGCCCCTGCTGGTCCTCGGCAACGAGGTACCGGGCACTCGCTGTCCTGTCTATAACCCCTGTGATCTGCACCGCAGCCTGCATGGTCAGCAGTGTGGTCAACCCTGCATCGCAGATGAGGCGGCGAAGACATGGAGAAGCGGAGCCACACAGCCAGCTGCTGGGTGGCTGGGATTTGAAGCCGGAAAGTGTGGCGCTAAAGTTGGGCTCATAACCACCACGCTCTCCTGCCAGAAATGCTGCTCCCCTGTCCACTGTCTCTCTGGGCTGGCGCACATCTGGCTAATGGGTTACTCCGGCCTGGGCTCTGCCAGCGTACCACCCCGCCTTTAAGAGGAGCCTTCTGAGAAGTGGCCTTGACCCAGGGGCTCACCAAAAGACAAGGGGAAAGAGAAGGTCTTGGTAGCTCCCTGGCACCCCCTGAGGACCCCAGACCCACAGCTTTGCAAGTTTCCTAGATAATGGGCTCCGAGGTAGAGTGGGAGACGGGGAGAGAGGAGGAGGTGGCAGCAGGAGGCCCTTCCCGGTGCCCGTAGCCTCCTCTGTGGTTCTGCTCCTGTAATCCCCAAACTCCAGCTCTCAGGTCTGACCAGTCTCTCCATTCACCACCTGTCCCGCGCTTTGGGTTAGGTTGGGGGACAGCCAGATGGAGGGGCCAGGAGGCCATGGTGACGGAAGGTGAGAGGGAGGGGAAGAAGGGGAAAGACAAGTTGGTGCTCCCCCGATGGCTGCAGGAGCACAAAAGCCCCCAGTCCTGGAAGCGGGATGGGGAGGCTGGATGCTTGGGCTGGCTCCCAGGGACCGTGGCCTGCACTTCCACTGTCATCGCTCTCCAGGTGGTCACAGTAGCCTCCTGACACCTCTCCCTCCTGCTTCTCTCGCAGTTGCAACCTTTTAAAAGCACATTACTTCCCAATTCCCGCTTTGAACCCTCCAGAGGATCCCCATCACACTCGATGTACAAGCCAGACTCTCTCCTTGGCTTTTGGGTCCTCGTGGTCCACAGGTCACCTCCAACATTGTCTCCTACCTCTCAACGGCCCCTCCCCACCCCAATTTTCCACTCCAGCCACACCAGCTTCTGCTGTCGTGAAAACCTCACCAAGTGCGTTCCCACTGCAGGGCCTTTGCACTTGCTGTTCCCCTGTGCCTGTAATGCTTTTCTCTCCGCTCTTCCATTGTACTTCCTTCTCATCCGTGGGTCTTGGCTCAGATGGTACCTCCTTGGGGAGGCCGGCCCTCACCACCTTCTCTGAACTAACCCCTTACTATCTTGTATCCCCCTTTTTTCTTTTCTTTGTAAAAAAGATTTTATTTATTTTCTTTTCAAGAGGAGGGGAGGGAGGGAGAGAAACATTAATGTGTGAGAGATACCCATGCCCCCAACAGGGGGACTGGCCCACAACCCAGACACTTGCCCTGACTGGGAATCAAACCAGTGGCCTTTCGGTTTGCAGGTCGGCGCTCAATCCACTGGACCACACCAGCCAGGACCTTATTTTCTATAATGAGATATAATACACATAGTATAAAATTCATCCTTTTGAAGTGTACAATTCAGTGGTTTTTAGTGTCTTCACAGGCTTGTGCAACTATCACCACTATTTAACTCCAGAATATTTTCATCCTTCCGAAAAGAAACACAGCCCCCATGAGAAGTCGCTCATCATCCCTCACCGCTCAGCCCTTGGGAACCGCTCACCTGCTTTCCATCTGTTGATTCGCCTTTTCTGGACCTTCTGTAGAAGCAGAACCACACAATACGTGGCCCTTCGTGTCTGGCTTCTTGCACTTAGCACGGTGGCCGTGAGGTTCTTCCGCATCGTGGTATGGTTTAGCGCCTCTCTCGTTTTTATGGCTGAATAATGTCCCCAGGCAAGCGTGGATCTCGTGTTGTTTACCCACTCATCAGTCAGTGGGCATGTGGGTTGGCTCTGCACTGTCTGGCTCTTAGGAATAATGCTACTATGAACGACGGCGTGCACGTGTGTGTTTGAACATATGTTTTCAGTTCTCTGGGGCTACAGTGCTGGATCATATACGAACTGTTTAACCTTTCAAGGACCTGCCAGACTAGTTTCCAAAGCGGCTGCACCATCTTAGGTTCCAGCAGAAACATGAGTATTTCAGTCTCTCCACGTCCTTGCCAGGACTTTCCTTTTTTTAATTTATTTTTAATTTTATGATGTTTATCTTCGTGGGTGTGAAATGATTCTGCAGGGTGGTTTTGATTTGCATTTCCCTGATGACTAATGATGTTGAGCATATTTTTATGTGCTTGCTGGCCATTCGTGTGTCTCCTTTGGAGAACCGTCTACGCGAATCCCTCGTGCATTTTGAAATTGGGTTTCTTTCTTTTTGTCGCTGAGTTGCATCTCCTGCATTTTGCTTATCACACTTCTCACTCTCTGAAACGAGCTTGCTTTCTTGTGTTTTTGTCTCTCTGTGTGCGCCCTGTGAGGTCAGGGACCCGGTCCGTCCTGTTCACTGCTGTGTCCCCAGCTTCGTGGTCCCGTTTGGCGCAGGAGTGAGTGAGTCTGCAGTGAGAAGAGCTGGGATGACTCACCCACTCACTCGGCAGGCAGGGAGCTCTCTGCCTCCCTGTGGTTCTCCGGGCTCCAACACAGCAACACGGGTCCGGGCCTGGGGTTAGGGGCCTCCAGGGACCCACTGTGAGCACCAGCCCCGCAATATTGTGAGGCTCCTTTGTGAGGCACCTGCCTTAGGTACCTTTCCAAGGGTAGGGGGAGGACAAGATGGGGTTCATATACCACCTCGTACCTACTAAGTGCTTGGTCAAGGGCAGGGCCCCATGCAAGAGCTATGTAAGTCTGAGGGGATTAATGACCCTTTGCTGTGTAACCGATTGCCACACACTTAGCAGCTTACATCAGCACCGTGTATCAGCCCCACAGTCTGGCAGGTCAGAGGTCAGGCAGGGTGGAGCTGGGTTCTCTGTTCAGCATCTTCCACCACCGAAGTCAAGAGGCAGGCGAGGTTACATCCGGCGAAGAATCTGGCTGAGTTCAGTTCCTTGTGGTTGTGGGACTGAGGTCCCCATCTGCTGTCAGACAAGACCCACTCAGCTCCTAGACGCCACCGGCATTCCTTGCCTTGTGGCCCCTTCCATGTTCAAAGCCAGCAATAGAGACTCTCTCCCTGGTGCCGTGTCTCATGCTGTGAGTCTTTCACCAGAACAGTTTTGTCTCCTGTAAGCCCCACATCCACCTGATTAGGCCAGGCCCACTGAGGAGAAGTGTTCTTCCATAAGTCAGCTGTACCGTCTGCCCCCGACTCCGTGGGAGGGGATTGTACTAAGGTGTGGGCCAGCTCAGAATTCTGTCTATCACGGTGAGCTTTCTGTATTGTGACTGTATTCTCGGAGGAGTTGCTCTGCTCTCCCAGACCCGGGGCCGTGCTGGCTCAACCAGACAACTCTGTATCTTTATGCTACCGGGTTCTGGAAAGCTCTCCCACCCTTAGAGAGATGACCACCTCCATCAACCAGTCCCTCAGCTTCGGCTCTCAGCCCCCTGCCAAGTCCCTTCTCTACTCAGCAACCAAAAGGATCCATTAAAAAAAAAATAACAAAGACTGAGCCAGATCACGTCCCTACTCTTCTCCAAGTTTCCATGGTTCCCGCCTCACTGAGACAAAGCCGAAGCCCTCACAGCTACCCGCAAGGCCCTGCGAGGCCTGGACCTCGTTACCGCTCTGGCCTCAACCTCTGCTACGTTTCCCATTCCGTCCAGTCCAGCCACACTGGCCTCTGTACTGTCATTTGGACATGCCAGGCCTGATCCAACCACAGGGCCTTTGCACTTGCTCTTTCTGCCTGGAGGCTCTTCCTCCAGGTATCCACGGGGCTCCCTCTCTCACCACCTTCAGGGACGCCCGCCTTGCCATCTCCATTTAAAGGCACGCCCCACGCCCTACGCACTTTATCCTCTTCCCTGCTCTGTCAAATGGTGATAAGCACTGTGGCTCCTGCAGGCGACCTGGCGAGCCCCCCCTGGACCTGGGCAGCATCCCCTGGTTGGGCCATGCCTTGGAGTTTGGAAAGGATGCTGCTGGCTTCCTCACGAGGATGAAGGAGAAGCATGGTGATATCTTTACTGTAAGTACCTCTGGTGCCTCTTGGGAGGGAAGGGATGAGCAGCTGGGGCTGTCACACCTGGTGTTTTCTGATTCCTCCAGCACCTGTGCACACGCTAACCCACTCATTCCACATCCGCCCAGTGGTCCTGCCAGCGTTCTAGCTACGTCTGTGCAACTGTCCACCCAATGAGGGCCGAACACCCTTCCCTTCGCTGTCCCTCTAGCATCCTCCCAACACTGAGCTGTGCAGTCACGCAGCATCTCTCCAGTCCTTGGATACCCATCTAACCCACTTCTGTCCATTCATTCAACGTCCACCTATCCAGCGCCCACCCCTTCCTGGCACGTCCATGCTTCTGCCCACCTAGGCAGCACCCTTGCTTCCTGATAGCCTCCCAGCTCTCACTCTTTTTTAAAAATTTTTTTTATTGATTATGCTGTTACAGTTGTTCTATTCCCCCTTCATTCCCCTCCACCCTACCCCCCCAACCCCACCATTACCCCCCCTTTAGTTTATGACCATGTGTCTCAAGTTCTTTAGATTCTGTATTTCCCATGCTATTCTTGCCCCCCCCCATCTATTTTCTATCTACTGTCTATGCTACTTATTTTCTGTACCTTCTCCCCCCTTCTCCTCCTCCCACTCCCCTGTGGCTAACCCTCCTTGAGATCTTCATTTCTATGTTTCCACTCCTGATCTAGCTGTCCTTTTAGTTTGCTTTTGTTTTAGGTGTGGTTGCTAATAACTGTGAGTTTGCTGTCCTTTCACTGTTCATGTTTCTTTAACTTCTTTTTCTTAGATAAGTCCCTTTAACATTTCATATAATAAGGGCTTGGTGATGATGAACTCCTTGAATTTGATCTTACCTGAGAAGCATTTTATCTGTCCTTCCATTCTAAATGAAAGTTTTGCTGGATAGAGCAATCTTGGTTGTAGGTCTTTGGATTTCATGACTTGGAATACCTCTTTCCAGCCCCTTCTTGCCTGGAAGGTCTCTTTTAAGAAATCCACTGACAGTCTGATGGGAACTCCTTTGTAGGTGACTGTCCCCTTAGCTCTTGCTGCTTCTAGGATTCTCTCCTTCATTTTAATTTTGGCTAATGTAATGATGATGTGCCTTGGTGTGTTTCTTCTTGGGTCCAACTTCTTTGGGACTCTCTGAGCTTCCTGGATTTCCTGGAAGTCTATTTCCCTTTGCCAGATTGGGGAAATTCTCCTTTATTATTTGTTCAAATAAGTTTTCCACTGGTGGCTGTGCCTTTCCCCCTTCTGGTACCCCTATAATTCGGATATTGGAGCGTTTAAAGATGTCCTGGAGGTTCCTAAAGACTCTCCTCATTTTTTTGAATTCTTGCTTCTTCACTCTTTTCTGTTTGGCCATTATTTGCTTTCTTCTGGTCCATTCCATTAATTTGAGTCCCAGTTTCCTTTTCATTGCTATTGGTTTCCTGTGCAATTCCATTCATTTCAATTAGTTTCACCTTCATATATTTGTCTAATTTGTGGGTATAATCAACCAGTTCTGTGAGGATCCTGATCACCAGTGTTTTAAACTGTGCGTCTGAGAGTTTTGCTATTTCTTCATTGCTTAGATTTATAGGCTCTGGGGCTTTGAGATCTTCTTGAGCCATTTTTGGTCTGTTCGGGCCCTTTAAGTGTGAGGAGCGGAGCCTTGGACTCCCAGGTCGCTGGGTTTTGACGCTGTATGTGGGGGCGTGGTCAGAGCGGGGAAATGGCGGCCCCCTCTGCTGTGTCTCGCCGCTGGGTGAGGAGCAGAGGCTGAGGTGGTTCACCAGGGCAGTGCCACTCAGAGTCGCTGGGTTATGACGCTGTATGTGGAGGTGGGGTCAGAGCAGGGAAATGGTGGCGCCCTCCACTGCCGCTTGCTGCGGGGACCCCCTGGGTCCCGGTCCAATCGCCCACTCCCTCGCTTGTCTATCCGCGCACCAATGTGCGACCACAGTCAACCCGCAGCCCTGCTCCCTCGCTGTTTCCCCGCGGTTGCTCACTTGGTCGCTCGCTCGGTCACTCACTAGGTCCAACCTTGCACCTGGGATCCACGCCTGAGTCCGTCTGACCGAGTTTTCCTGTGCAACCCCGCTCCACCAGCTGCTGGTTTCGCCCCTTACCGGTCAGGCTGAAGAATTTGTTGTTAACAGACTTCCGAAAAGTTCAATTTTCTGTGTTCTGGCTGTGTTTTCTGTTGCTAATATTTAGTCGTCTCTAAACTTGGTTGTGTGAGAAGGCACGGCACATCCACCTATGCCTCCATCTTGGCGGAAGTCCCAGCTCTCACTCTTATATTTCATGTCCATTCAGCCTCCCTCTAGCAGCTCATCCACCCGTGTTTCTGTGTGTGTCTCCGGGATTTGTCTGCCCTCCATGCGCCCATCGCATGTTCTTCCAAATGTCCGCCCAGACTTATTCAGCGCCGTCCCGCTCACGCACCTCCCACCCAGCTTTCATCTGTATGTTCAGTTACCACCACATTCCATTCTTCCGCTTGTCTGCCTGTGTTTCCGTCCATCCGCTGTCCGCCCAACATTCAGCTCTCCATCCATTCGATATCCGCCTATTTATATCTCCACCTATCCGTCCCTTTAACATCTGAACAACCTTCCCACCCACCTTCCGAGGACCCTTCCCACCTGTGTACATCCAACATTCATCCTGCCATCCCTGTACCCAACTCTCATCCATACATTTCTTTTCCAGCCAACCTCTAGCTGCCGATCCATCCATCTTTCTGTCCAACATACGTTGGATGATCTATCCCGCCATTTATCCATCCATCTAACAATCCCTCCAGTAGCATTTTCCCTTGGATATGTCTTACAAGGGGGGTTGACGGACTTGACTCACAGACCTTGGCGTGACCCCCGCACAGACAGCTGAGGGACAAGGCCCTTCCTTTTGCTGTCCGCGGGGTTACAGCTCCCGGTTGTTTCCTTCTCTCTGGGACAGCGCGCTGCGTCGGAGCTCAGCCTCCCGAAGAAGTGGGTCTTGCATGTCCACTCGCATTGACCCCACAGTATCACCTGTCCATCTGTCCTCCCTTCCATCCATGCATCTGTCCATCTATCGGTTCATCCACCCATTTATCATCTGCCCACTAGCACTGATCCACTAACATCCTCTGTCTATCATCTGTCCATCCATCTATGATGCACATGTGTCCATCTGCTTTCTCCCGTGGGCAGACCCCCTCCTGGCTGCGGGAGGCGTGACAGTGACTCAGGTAACCACGGCAGGTGCCTAAGACTGAGGTGGCTAAGCGCACAACCTTAGGTGCGAACAAGTGCAGGATCCCAGTTCCAGCCCCGCACTTCTCGGCTGTGCCATCTTGGACCCATTGCCTGCTTTCTCAAAGCCTCACTTTTCAGGCGTAAACGGGGGGATGAAGGTCCCTACCTCACAGGGTGGTCGTGAGGGGCCGATGAAAGACCACCGTCTGTTAGGTACTGGAAGGGGCCAGTGCTTGGCACAGTGTGGGCCCTTGACCGCGGGCAGCTGCTGCCGATCACGGCGCTGACCTGCCAACTCCCCAGGTGCTGGTGGGCGGCAGGCACGTCACCGTGCTCCTGGACCTGCACTCCTACGACGCGGTGGTGTGGGAGCCTCGCACGAAGCTGGACTTCCACGCCTACGCCGTCTTCCTCATGGAGAGGATTTTCGACGTGCAGCTTCCGCATTACGACCCCGGCGACGAGAAGGCCAGGATGAAACCGTGAGTGGCCGCACGCGGCACCTCGGGTGGCCGGGGTGGACGATCCGCCCCCACCTGCTAGTTCGAGTAGCTCTTCTCTGACAGGTGTCCGGTAAAAGACATTTCCTTTCAAGGAAACAAACAAAAACAAAGGGAAAAAACAACCCAGAATATCTGGGCTGCGGGAGAACACTTCACTTCATAGCAGGCAGCTCTGATTTGAGTAGAAAGAGACCAGGGTTTGGGTCAGCCAGACCTGGGTTCGAATCCCAGCTCCGCACCTTCCTAGCCTTGTGACTTTGGAGAGGCTTCCCCCGCCCCCACCCCAAGCCTGTTTCCACATCTGTAAAATGAAGGGAGCAGGGTGGGGTGGTTGATTTTTTTGAGTTTATGTTCTGTGCCGGGCATCATGCAGGACTGCATTAGTCCTCAGGGCATTGCTGGAGGGTAAGGACTTACAGCCCCATTTTATACGTGCGAACTCGGAGAGGTGACCTGCTCTAGGTCACGCAGCTAGGGAGGGGTCCCGACACGTAGGGAGTCTTACATCAACCACGCGACTCTAACTCTGTATTCGTTCGGCAAACATCTGAGGACCCGCCAGCCCCTGCTCACCAGCCTAGATGCTGGGGGTGCAGGAGGCTGCCAGCCACCCTCTGAGGGCACCTGCCACATGCCAGGTGTTCCATAGGCTCACTCTCACATTTGTGCAAAAGCCTCAAGAATTAGGTATTTCTATTCTCATCTCACAGATGAGAAACCTGAGGCTCAGAGATGCAAAGTGATTTGCCCAAGGTCTACTGCTAATAAGTGGCGGAGCTGGGATTTGAACTCAACTCTGCAGACTCCACAGCACATTCTTCTCCACCCAAGATACTGAAGAAACAAGACTCTGCATCCGCCCCTAAGAGCCTCGCAGACTGATGTTAATCTTTACGGCTCTGTCTCCAGGAAGGGGAGCCTCCAGGACTTGGGGAAAGTGCCTGGAGGGCTGGGGCTGGCAGGACGGCTAAACCGAGGAGAGGCCAACACTGTGAGGTGCACACTCATGAGAGCAGTGCCCAGTCTGACCTTGGCTTTGTGGGACAGCTGCTAGGAGTGTTTCTGAGCCTGAGTGTCCCGGGTCCCGCCATTCCAGGGGGATCATGAGAGCTCACTAGCAACAAGAGTCCACCGTTCATTGCATCCTATTCCGCTACACAGGGAGGACCCCCAGTTTCCTCCAGTGTCTGCCCCCAAGAGTTTCTGGAAGTTTCTGCCAAGTTGGCATGATGTCTTCTGGGCATGGCTGCCACATCTACTGTCTCTGTTGGGGACTAGTGCCTGGAGTGGAGGGTCAGGAAAAGAAGGTCAAGGTCAATCACAACTTCCCATTTATGGAACACTTACAATGTGCCTGGTGCTCTTTTATGCCCTTTATACATTTTCTTGCACGTGGGTCGTGTCTGCTGCTCTCCAACATGTTCCAACTTGAACATGCAAAAGCTTTGATTACGTGCAGGGTCATGGAACCCTCTGGAAGTTTTCCAGCCTTGAGTTATCCAAGGAACTCGGGGTTTCTTCAGACTAAAGGGCTCCTTATCCAAGCTTGTGTGCCCCAAGGAGGGATGGACTATGGTGGAGAAGATTCCAGACCCTGGCCCTGGCTGGTGGAGCTCAGTGGGTTGAACGCTGGTCTGTAAACACAAAGGTCACTGGTTCAATTCCTGGTCAGGGCACGAGCCTGGGCTGAGGGCCAGGTCCCTGGCTGAGGGCACTCGAGAAGCAACCAATTGATGTTCTCTCCCTCTCTTTCTCCCTTCCTTATCCTCTCTCTAAAAATGAATAAATAAAATCTAAAAAAAAAAAAAAAGAGCCCAGACTCTGGAGGTGGGCAGATCAGTCACAGCTGTGTCACTTATTGGTTGAGTGACCTCGGTCAAGTCATTTCCCTCTATGTCTGAGTTTCTCCGTCTGTAAAATGGGTATCATATTGGTAACTGTTAACCATTAGAGTTGCCAAAAAATGAAGCGAGATCCCTGTGCTTCGTACGATAAATAGTATTGGTCATCGTCGTCGATGATGACAGCAATAAGACCAGCTTGTTCGAGCCAATCTTCCAAAGACCCCCACTGCCAGCAAGGAACTGGCGCCCCAGGACCCTGAGGTTTGGGGAGGGAGGCGCCCGTGCGTGGAAGCCGCTCTCTCATTTCTTTGTCCCCCGCCCCAGGACTCTCCTCCACAAAGACCTGCAGGCGCTCACGGACGCCATGTACACCAACCTCCGCACCGTGCTGCTGGGCGGCGCCGCAGAAGCGGGCAGTGGCTGGCGTGAGACGGGGCTCCTCGATTTCTCCTACGGTTTCCTGTTCAGGTGAGCCTGGCCAGCCCCCACTTGCCCGGGGGGAGCCCCACAGGCTGGACCTGGCTCAGCCCCGAATAGTGGCTGGGGAACCACGAGGACCTTATGTGGGGGGGAAGTCGTTTGGGACCCTGGAAGCAAAGACTGTAAGATGACATTTTGCATCTGGGACCCCAAGTATTTCCCTGGCTCAGCCTGCGAATTGTAAAGGAAACAGAGTCCAAAAAGGGGGGAGGGGGGCTTGTAGGCTTTGGGATTCATTCTAAGTAAGATGAGTGACGCTGGGGGTTTTAGCAGGGGCTGAACATGATTGGACTTGGAGCTTCAAAAGTGCTGTTTGAGCCCTGGCTAGGTAGCTCAGTTGGTTGGAGCATCATCCCAATACGCCAAGGTTGTGGGTTCGATTCCCTGTCAGGGCACTTACAAGAAACAACCAATGAGAACATAAAGAAGCAGAGCAGCAAAGTAGTGTTTCTCTTTGTCTCTCTCTTGGATCAGTAAATGAAAATTTAAAATAAAGTAAAAGTGCTCTTTGGCTCCTGCAGGGGGACTAGGCCACATGCCAGGTGTGTGGCAATGAGAGAGAAGCAAGAAGACCCATTAGGGGGCTTTCGCAGTTGCCTGTGTAGGAGAGAGAATGGTGGCTTGCAGGGCCGAAGTCTTCCGCCCGGAGTTGTCCCACAGCTGGGGTCACGGCAGGGCCGGCCGCAGAGCCCGCTCTCTCAAGTGTGACCCCAGGTGTGCGGAAGAGCCACATTTTTTCTCACTTTTTCCTGGAGTGGAGCAGCTGCCATCCAGGGCTGTGACTGGTCCGGGTGACGCTGGTTTGGTCCACCCTGTCATTGTGGAGCGAACTGAGGTCCTAGAAGGGGCAGCTAACACCACCCAGCAAGTTCACAGCAAGGCAGCTCCGTGGTCCCCTGGGCCCCGCCACCCTGTGTCCCTGTGCAGACAAAGAAGTCCAACAGGAAGCTGTGACGCCGGGGGCGCTGGAGCCGACATGGTGGTGGCTGGGTCGTTCGGGGCAGGGTGACAGTGGGTACGGCCTGGGGTCATGTGTGAATGAGTCCCTGTGTCTTTAGGACCCGAGGCCTGGGCTGGAGCTCCTGCCTCCGTGCCTGGCAGCTGGGGCCTTTCTGTCACCTCTGGAGCCCCTGAAGTGGAGAGGGATGGGTGGCTTGGGTGACAGACCTTCGTGTGGAGGTGCAGGTTCACAGGCCGGACCGTGAGATGCCGCCACTCAAACCTTCCTGGGCGGGGCCCTGCCTCACTCAGAGAGGCATCCAAAGTTCTCGCCCTGGCCTCTAGGGTCCTGCATGATCACCCCTGGCCCCTTCTACTCTTATCCCTGCCCCTTACCGTGTCCCCATTGCTCTCTCCCCTGTCATTTCACCCGCCTCCGTTGTGCCCCTCGGAAAGGACAGGCATACCTTCGCCTCAAGGCCTTTGCAGTTTCTGTTCCGGTGCCCGAGAATGCTGTTCCCTACATGTCTGCAAGGCTCCCACCACACTTCATTCAAGTCTCATCGCAAGTGTCACCTCCTTCAGAGAGGCCTTTCTGACACCCCTGTTCAGGCCTTTTCTCCGTAGCCCCTAGCGCCACCTGTAGGTTATGTGTATGTTCACACATGTCATTATCTGTCTTCAGCCAAGTTGTTACTTTGATGTGGAAGGGCCCTCTCTTCCACAGTGTGACCCCCTGTGGCCTTGTTGGTGTGGACTGAGCTCAGAACCATGATAACTGTAATTTTCTCCCAAGATCAGTGTTCTCAGCGTTAGGTTCTAACCATTCATCCATCCATTCTCACACCCTCCCTCCTGTCTGTTCGTCCATCTGTCATCTGTCCAACTACCCTCCCTCCTACCCATCCACCCATCCATCCACGCATCCACCCATCCATCTACCCTCCCTTCCATCCATCCATCCATCCATCCATCCATCCATCCATCCATCCATCCACCCCTCCTTGCATCCATCCAACCATCTATCCAGAGAACATTTACTGAGGGCCTACTACGTGCCTGCACTGTGCGGATAAGAGACAGAGTCAGGACTGGACGGGCCTCTCTCGGCCCCCAGCCTCCCTCACTCCGGCATCCGGCCTCTCCTTCTCAAAAAAATCCCTCTTCTGGGAGGTGCGGGGACCAGGAGGCACTCAAGGGGAGCAGTGGGCTTTGGTGGTGTCTCTCTGCAGAGGCCCAGCTGGCGCCTCCCACCCTGCGGGAGAAGTGAAAACCTGTGGTTTTCTACCCAGGACAGAGGCCAGTGGGCCTGGGGCTCCTAAAGTATTTGACAGTGACTGCTGGCAGAAAACATTTCCTCTAGGACCCTTCCTGTGGGCAGAGAGAGAGAGAGAGAGAGAGAGAGAGAGAGAGTGTGTGTGTGTGTGTGTGTGTGTGTATACACGTCCCAACAGCACACTTGCTCCTGTGGTTCATCCTTTCTTCACCCCCAACCAGGCCCTGTCCCTTAGGTCAAGCCCAGCCTTCTCATGGTTGCAGCCCCCATCCCTGCCCTGCCCTGCACGACCAGCCCTACCAGCTCCCGACTGCTTCCATCCTGTCCCTGTCCCCTCGTGCTCCAGCTCCAGCTCCTGGACCAGCGGCACCTGGCAGCTCCGACCAGGCCAAGTTGCTCTCTCAGCCCTGGGCCTTCCCCAGGCTATGACCCTTTACCCCTCTCTTTCCCCCTGCTCACCCTGCAGGTCTCCGCTCAGACCCTGCCTCCTCCAGGGAGCCTGCCTTGACTCCTTCTGCAGGGGCAGGAGCCTCCTCCCCTGGCCTGTGGCTCCATCTTACCCCACTGTCGCTCTGCTTGATCTCCTCTCCCTTATTCACTCTGCCCCGGCCTCACCAGCCTCCTCGCTGCTCCTCAGCCCTCCACCTCTGCCCTTCCTCGGATGTTGGCAACCACGGTTCCCTCTGCCTAGGACCCCTCCCTCTGCACTTTCTGCCAGGTGTCAGCCTAGTGGCGAGCCCCTTCGCCCTCTTTGTCCCACATACCTCGGAGCACCGGCTGACATATTAGTCGTACACTCACTTGTCTCTTGGTCTGCACTGGAGTGTCCACTCTATGAGGCCTTGAGGGTTTTGTCTGTTTTGTTTACGGTGTCTGCCCGCCCCCAGCAGCCAGGGCATCTAGTAGGAAGAGTAGGTGCTCACTCTGGGTGTGAATGAAGAAAAGCTTGTAGGCTGCCGTGGGCGGGGGGCGGGGGGCGGGGCGGGGGTCTGGCTGGGAGTGACCAAGGAGGACCCCCGATCTGCTGTGTGCCGTCCCCAGAGCCGGCTACCTGACGCTATATGGAATCGAGGCGCTGCCGCGCACCCCTCAGAGTCAGGCCCAGGACCGCGCCCACTCGGCCGACGTCTTCCACTCCTTCCGCCAGCTCGAGCGGCTGCTTCCCAAGCTGGCGCGCGGCTCCCTGTCTGTGGGTAAGCACCGCATGAGGGGGCGCAGGGGCCTGTGGGGGCGGGGGCAGACCTCGGGATGCAGAGGGGCGTCCCAGCTCAAGGTGAAGGATCTCACCTGTAAGATGGGGAGGAGAGTAGGACCTTCCTAGACGGTGGCTGTCAGGATTGGCTGAGGTAATAAGAAAAAAAATATTTTTTTGACCTCTTTCTGTGTGCCCGATACCAGGTTAATGAAGTGTTGTCTCATTCAGTGCTCGCAACAGCTCATCACTTCACTTCCCTTATTTATATTTTGTTGTAAACCAAACTTTAACACATTAGATTGTTTATAGTAAGAAACATTATTGTGGGTAGAAATTCATAGATGTAGACAGTGGAAAGTAATAACATTCACTCTTCCGAGCCCAGCTTCCAATATAGATGTTAACATGCTGACATATATCCCTCTGGTATTTTGTGGGAATATTCTGTTTTGCAAATAGAGACAGATATACATATCTAGAGTGTATAAAACTTATTTTATTTTTAAAAATATTTTATTTATTTATTTTTATAGAGAGGGGAAGGGAAGGAGAAAGGGAGAAAAACATAAATGTGTGGTTGCCTCTCATGCAACCCCTACTGGAGACCTTGCCCACTACACGGGCAAGTGCTCTGACTGGGAATCAAACCAGCAACCCTTTGGTTTGCAGATTGACGCTGAATCCACTGAGCCACACCAGCCAAGCCTACAACTTGTATTTTTTTAAGCTAACAATATAGATACATTTCCCCCTGTCAATACAAACATCTTCTAGGTGCTAGTCAATACAATTAGATAAATCAATTTCTGTTGTAAGAATTAAAACTATCCCTATTTGCAAATGATCTCCTACTATATCTGGAAAACCTCAGAAAATCCATGACAAAACTAACTGAAGCAAAAAAGAATCCAGCAAAATGGAAGAACAAAATTAACAACAACAAGAAAACACTCTTCCAGCCCTCACATGTCGGTATTTAGGTAGCCACGCCCTTCCAAAGGGTTGTTCTAATTGTTTCCGTGTGTGTGTGTGTGTGTGTGTGTGTGTGTGTGTGTGTGACTATTATAGTATCTTGTACTGTTATCACTTCGGCCATCTGGTGACTTTATTTCTTGATGACATTTTTTTGGAAGTGAGTTTGCCAGGTCAAAGGGCATACACATTAAAATACTTACTAGTTACTATCATATCATTTCCAAAAAAATGGAGCAATTTCTACGTCTACCCAAAGGGAAGAGGCCCACCAAATGTTATCAATCTTTCCACTTGTTTGCCAATCTGATGGGCAGAGCTGGGTAATGTGTTTTAATTTGTATTTTCCCACAACCTTCTCAACATGCAGTTATCAGCCTTTAAATCCTTGCCAATCCGATGGGTGAAAAAGGACCCCTGGCTTTATAGGCATTTCCCTGTTGGTGGAGATAAAACGTGTTTTTTTGTGTGTTTTCCCAGGCATTTGCTTTTCCTCTATGTGAGTTGCTTCTTTGTGTCTCTTAACATCTTTTTAGAGGCAAATCTTTATCTTAATGACTCCTGCCATCAATGTTGGAAGTTTGGTATCATTATACCGGCTTGGCAGGTAAAGAAATTGAGGCTCAGAGAGGTTCCTTGTCATAGACACAGCTGGTGGGCGCCATAGCCAGCAAAATGGAAACTTAGCCCATCTGATTGCAAAATGCTGTGCATAAATCACCTGACACATCTCAGCCCCGATTGCTTCTCCAGGAAAGAGTGGTTTCTGCATTGCCCTTTGCTCCATTCTGACGCTCCCTGGGAGTCTGGGTAGCTGCAGAGCAGGGGACCCTCTGTCTTGGGAGCAGACCTGGGCTGGTTAAAGGAAGGCTGCATTTCCCACTTTGGGCAGCAGGTGGCAATGTTGGGAAAGGTTTCTCAGTTCAGGGCCCAAGGCTGCAGGGCAAACCTGTCCCTATCAAAATATAAAATGCACGTTTGTTGAATCCTTCATATGACAAACATATGAAGGTGAAACTAATTGAAATGAATGGATTGCACAGGAAACCAATAGCAATGAAAAGGAAACTGGGACTCAAATCAATGGAGTAGACCAGAAGAAAGCAAATAATGGCCAAACAGAAAAGAGTCAAGAAGCAAGAATTCAAAGAAATGAGGAGAGGCTTAGGAACCTCCAGGACATCTTTAAGCGCTCCTACATCCGAATTATAGGGGTCCCAGAAGGGGGAAAGGCACAGCCACCAGTGGAAAACTTATTTGAACAAATAATAAAGGAGAATTTCCCCAATCTGGCAAAGGAAATAGACTTCCAGGAAATCCAGGAAGTTCAGAGAGTCCCAAAGAAGTTGGGCCCAGGAAGGAACATACCAAGGCACATCATAATTATATTAGCCAAAATTAAAATGAAGGAGGGAATCCTAGAAGCAGCAAGAACTAAGGGGACAGTCACCTACAAAGGAGTCCCCATCAGACTGTCAGCTGATTTCTCAAAAGAGACCTTCCAGGCAAGAAGGGGCTGGAAAGAGGTATTCCAAGTCATGAAATCCAAAGACCTACAACCAAGATTGCTCTATCCAGCAAAACTTTCATTTAGAATGGAAGGACAGATAAAGTGCTTCTCCGATAAGATCAAATTTAAGGAGTTCATCATCACCAAGCCCTTATTATATGAAATGTTAAAGGGACTTATCTAAGAAAAAGAAGTTAAAGAAACATGAACAGTGAAAGGACAACAAACTCACAGTTATTAGCAACCACACCTAAAACGAAAGCAAACTAAAAGGACAGCTAGATCAGGAGTGGAAACATAGAAATGAAGATCTCAAGGAGGGTTAGCAACAGGGGAGTGGGAGGAGGAGAAGGGGGAGAAGGTACAGAAAATAAGTAGCATAGACAGTAGATAGAAAATAGAAGGGGGGGCAAGAATAGTATGGGAAATATAGAATCTAAAGAACTTGAGACACATGGTCATAAACTAAAGGGGGGTAATGGTGGGGATGGGGGGTAGGGTGGAGGGGAATGAAAGGGGGAATAGAACAACTGTAACAGCATAATCAATAAAAAAATTTTAAAAAATTAAATTTAATTTAAAAAATTAGTAATGAATATTACTTATTTAAACTTATTTTTTAAGTTAAATATCACAGAAAAGGGAAATTCTTCTCCCAAGGTTACTGCTGTTATCAATTTGGTGTTGTCTTTCTAGAACACTTCTCTTCCTTGAATGCAAACTACAGAATTATCTTTAAATTTTCTGTTAGATGCTTTTAAAAAGGAGAGAGATGAAATCAATGTTAATAATAGATTTTCTTCAGCTCGGTACAGCTAAAATTAAATCAGCATTTCAGCATGTCATTGATATAAAAATTATCAATGAGATCATTTACATTTTGTTACTGGTGCTAACACTTTGAATCACAGAATGTCTCGGTGTGGGCAAGCCACATGTTAAAGGCCCAGTAACCATTGATGGCCTGTGGTTACCTTATTGCACAGAGCGGCTCTAGACCGTTCTCCACGTGTTGAAACATAGCGCAAGCCCAAATTATACTGTGGTCCAAATTATACAGTGAGCCCCTGTTTTCCTGGTGGGAAGGTATTTTTTTAGTGTTTTTTTTTTTGTCAACCCAAATATAGAAATAATTAGGAGTAGAAATGAAGAAGTCGAACTTGCCCTCACTGATTTTTGTTGAGCATCTGTTGAGCATCATGTTGCATATGAACATGCAACATGAACTTTTGCTTTCTTCTTACTCTTTCATTTCAGGAAATGATTCTATTCAGACTCCACCCTCGATATCAGCATCTCACCCGCCGTGTGGCTGAGTTGCTGGACTCAGCTTTTCAGGTCTCTTCACTCCAATATTGTCCGTACGAGACCCATGAGTTCATTGAATCTGTGATCTGTGGTCTGTTCTCTGGAAACTTTCTCGGGTGGGGAGGGGTGTGTGCAGGGGTTGCCAGACTTTGAATATGTTTTATGTGGTTCATTCATTGGAAATAGAAAATCATGACAGTGAAATGTCTCCCTCCCTTTCCTATCATGCTGTTTCCCACCCGATTCTCACTCTCCCCTGTTGGCTGGTTTCATTACTTTCACGTGGAACCTTCCAGAGTTCCTTTACACAAATGCAAGCAAAGTGACTGTGTTCTTTCTTAATCATTCTCTTTTCCCCATAAATGCGTACAGGACACATTCATATGGCACTTTGCTTTTTCCTAACAATGTATGCAGAGTGGCAGTAACTCTGTCTCATGTGTGGTGCATGCCCCGTGCTGTTCTAAGGGATCCACCAATGGGAATTGATTCGATGATCAAACCACTGCTCTAAATTTTTAACTTTTTTGCTAGTCCCTTTTTTTTATTATTATACAACACCATCTTCAGCTCATTTGCCAAGTGACATTCACATACTTCTCTATTTTTAATGGTGGTAACATATACACACTATAAAGTTCACTATTTTGACCACTTTTAAGTAGACAATTCAGTGGCAATAAGCACATTCACAATGTTGTGTAACTATATTGTTACTGTTGTCTGAAATGTCTCATTGTCCCAAACAAAAGATTTGTAACCACCATCTCCCTCTTCCTCAGCCCCTGGTAACTTTTCTTCTACTTTCCGTCCCTTTGAATTTGATTGCTGGGTCCCTCATGTCAGTGAATCATACCACATTTCTCCTCTCGGGCCTGGCTCATTTAACTTGGCGTGAGGCTTTCCAGGTTCATCTGTGTTGCAGCCTTGTCAGCACTTCCTTCTTTGTTAAGGCCAAGTCCGTGGTACAGAGACGCTGCATTCAGTTTACCTACACCTCCGTTGGAGGCCACTGGGATTGTTTCCACCTTTGTCTGTTGCTAATGCCACTGTGAACTAGGGGAGTGTCCAGGCATCTGTCTGAGGTCCTGTCACTTCTCTGGTGCAAACATCCGGAAGTGGAGTTGCTTCAGCGAGTGGCGGTTCTATCTTTAACTTTTTGGGGACCTTTCAAACCTTCCCGCCAGGGCCCCACCATTCTGTGTTCTCAACAGCAACACACAGGTTTCCTGGTTTTCCACATCCTTGCTCGTTATTTAGCTTTTTTTTTTTTTTTTGGATGCTAGGCTTCCTAAGGGGCATGAGATGGTCCCTCACTCATGCGGCTGTGATTGGCATTTCCCTAAAGAGTCGTGGTGTTGAGCATCTTTTCATGTGATCATTGGCCCTTTGTACATCATCCCTGGAGAAATGTCTATTCAAGTCCTATATCCATTTGGGTTTTTTTTTGGCGGGGGGGTTGTTGTTATTGAGTTATAGGAGTTTTTAATATAGTCTGGGTACTGGACCCCTATCTGATAAGATGATGTGCAAATACTTTCTCCAACTCCGTCGGTTGTCTTTTCACAGTGCATTGCTCCTTAGAGTCTTCCTTAAAAGCGGCACTTACAGTAATATTCAATACCTGCAGCTACCTGCTGCTGTAGAGCAGCATTTACAGTAATATTCAGTCCCTGCAGTGGTGCTGTCCCAGCTCAAAGAATGCCAGTCACTGTTAGTCTGTGTTAAATTCCTAGGCCTCCTTTTGGAACTCACTCATCAGATGACTTTTACAGGCCTCAGGGGAAGCGGCTGCCACACTGCCTGCACTCTGCACTCAGCACTCACTCTGCACTCTGCACTCACTCTGCACTCTGCACTCTGCACTCTGTACTCACTCTGCACTCTGCACTCTGCACTCACTCTGTACTCTGCACTCTGCACTCTGCCTGCACTCTGTACTCTGCACTCTGCACTCACTCTGCACTCTGCACTCTGCACTCACTCTGCACTCTGCACTCTGTTTCAAATCCACCTGTGCCCCAGCCAGTCCCCAGAGATTCTGATGAGATTGGCCTATGGTGGGGACCTGGGCAGGAGATTTACAAGTGCCCCAGTGATTCTCCAGTGCCTGAAAAGTTGGGAAACACAGGAAAATAATGCATTTCAGATAAACAGTTGGGCTCACTGCGTGCTATTTGAAAATGTAACTAATAGGCCTGGCTGGTGTAGCTCAGTGGATTGAGTGCGGGCTGGGAACCAAAGGGTCACCAGTTTGATTCCCAGTCAGGGCACATGCCTGGGTTGCAGGCCAGATCCCCAGTAGGGGGCACCTGAGAGGTAACCACACATTGATGTTTCTCTCCCTCTTTCTCCTTCCCTTCCCTTCGCTCTAAAAATAAATAAATAAAATCTTTTAAAAAAGAAAATGTAACTAATATACTTTAAAAAAATGTTTAGCCAACATTTGACACCCATTTAAGTCCCCTGTAGTATGCGGCCCGGCTTAGAACCACTGGGTGGGTGGGTCTTCCTGAAACACTATTTTCTGGCTCACATACATTTAAAAAGTCCGTGGGAGAGTTCCTGGAACTTGGGAATTTCGTAGTAATCCAAAGGAACACCCACTCTTGCACAGGGCGATTTAGGGACACCCGAATCTTATGGTCGTGCACATCTGTGTAAATAGAGCAGCGTCTTTCAGCGTTCACACAGTGTTCGAACGCTGCACACCTGGCTGCATTTCCTCGGTGGTCCGCCCTTGGGGCTGCATCTCGCCGGTTTTTCAAAGCAAAGCAGGCCGTGGCTTATTTGATGGTGATTGCAAAGTGGCGATTTGTGGGCCAGAGTTGACCTTTCAAGACGCTTGTGTGACCTGCACAGTGATCAAACATTTCTTGCTTATGTGCTAACCCCAAAACGCACGAGAAGATTCCATGTGAACACCTGGATTTTCAGCTTCTTCTGAAAACCAGGCTCCCTGGCCGGGGACAGATCGGCCCTGGGAGCCAATTGGCAGAGCTGTGTAGAGGCCGCCCCCGGACCCCCTGCTCCCCACAGTTCCCTCCTGGCCCTCCTTCCTCCTTCACTTTACCCGCCTTCCCTGGAGGCAGGTGAATTTGAGAGCCCAGACCCGTCTGTCCCTTCTTGATGGTAGTTAGTTCGTTTCTGGTGACTCCAAATGAAGCCGGGCTGAGTCTAGGGAATGTGGCGTGGTGTTTCTTGTCCCCTCTCCAGCTGTGTAAAGAACCACCATTCATTTAACACGTATTTATTGAGCACCTACTGTGGGCCAGTTGCTGGGGACGCAGAGGTGAGTAAAATAGACAAGTCCCCTCGCTCCTGTTCTCTGGGAGTGAGACAGACAATAAGCAAGTCAACCTGTAAAGGGCTTTCCTGCAGCCTCCTTCTCCCGGGAAGTCCCCATCCCCATGGAGTGACGCCCAGAAGACCCTTGGCCTCATGGGAGGTCAGGGCTGAGTGGCCCTGGGCTGGCCACGGGTCTGTAACCCTCTGTGCTCCGTTCCTGCAGGGGACAAGGACCGCGCGTGCAGCGTGAAAGGTCACCTGTGGAAGCTGCTGTCCCCAGCCAGGCTGGCCACCCGGGCGCACCGCAGCAGCTGGCTGGAGACTTACCTGCTGCACCTGGAGGAGATGGGCGTGTCGGAGGAGATGCGGGCGCGGGCGCTGCTGCTGCAGCTCTGGGCCACGCAGGTGGGTGCGGCACGCGAGAGGGGGCACGCAGGTGTGGGTGTGTGTGCGTGTGTGTGTGCGTGTGTGTGCAGGACGGTGTGCATTGGTGAGTGTGGGGGTGGGCTGTGCACACAGGCCCAGTCCCCTGACTTTCTTAACTTGGATCGAGTATCGTGAACAGGATCCTCCGTGAAGTGGAGGGAGGAGGGGGTGTGGGACTGGGGGGAGAGATCGCAGAGGGCCATGAGTCCCGGTCAGTGAAGACTTGGGGTTTTCTCTGGGTGAGTTGCGAGCCCTGGGAGCAAAGGAGGGACAGGGGCTGAGGAGCAAGGGCAGAAGCAGGGACATGAGGAGGCAGTGGTGGCAGGACCAGGCTGCGGCCAGGGAAGGGATGAGGATGCGGGTAGGTTCTGGAAACACCAGGAGACAGCGCCATTCAGGAGTGGGCCTGGCCTGGGGGCAGAGGAAGCGGGGCTGAGCGTGCTGCCCCTCTGGCCTGGCTCCTGCCCCCACCCAGCCTCAGGGCCCCACCTTCTCTTGGCCCCACCGCAGTCGTGACAGTTGCTCAGGCTGACATTTCAGGGTAATTCCTCTCCCATCGACTGGCAACTTATTTTTAGTTTTCTCTCAGAGCCATTAACTGTCCCCGTAGGCAGAGGCTGGCAAGGGGCAGGGGCCGGGTTTGGTCAGCAGTTGGGCCCCATTAGTGCCTAATAGCGTATTTATGGGCAGAGGTTGGAGCTCCAAACTCTCTCCAGAATCACTCACGGAAATGACCTCTGTCAGCGGAATTGGATGCTGGCCCAGGGGCTTGAGTGACAGAAAGTCCGGGGAGCAGCCTCTGGCAGGGCCAGGAGAGCTGGACAGGAGTCGGGGACAGGACATCCTCTGAGGTTGAGTCACTGGCAGAGTCCCGAGTGCAGGCGGGTGGGAAGACCCTTGGAGAGCACAGGTCTTGAGAGCGGGGCGAAGATGCGGTGCAGCTAAGTGGTTTCAGGCGTGGGCTCTGTGAGTCACCTGCCGCTTCCTGGCGAGTCAGTCGCTTACCTCTCGGTGCCTCAGTTTACTCATCTTTAAAATGGAGGTGGCAGCGCCTTTCTCAGGGTGTGGTGAAGGGATGAAAGGGTGTGATATCTGTGCTTGGCAGGTAACGAGAGCTCAATAAATACGTTTCACAAGTATGTAGTGAGGGCCCGGTGGGTGCCAGGAGCCTTCCAGAAGCTGGGGATAGAGCAGAGAGCGGAGCCAGGACTCCTGCCCTGGCAGAGCTGATGTCCTGGTGGGAGAAGACAGACTACCGATAAACAGGCATGGAAAGTGTACCAGAGGGGATGTTTGGTGGAGCACCAATAAAGGTGGGGAAGCGGTTAGCAGAGGGGCGTGGGGAGGGCCTACTGTAGATAGGTGGTCAAGGGAGACCACCCCAGGAGGGTGACATCTGAGCAGAAATGTGAAGGAAGTGCGGGAATGCGCCATGCAGGTACACAGGAGGAGCAGCAGGTGCAAAGGCCCTGAGGTGGGGAGGAGGATGACGGAGCAGAAGGGCAGCAGGGGCCTGGCTGCTCCAGGAGGCCATGGGGAGGACTTTGGCTTTTCCTCTGAGATGGGAACCCTCTGAGGGCTCTGAGCAGAGGGGCAGCATGGCCTGTCTTCTGCTCGAGCGGGGTCATTCTGACTGTGTTGCTGGGAACTCTGTAGTGGGGGGAAGTGGAGGCAGGGTGGCCAGGAAGGGGGCCACTGCAGTTACCAGGCAAGAGAGGATGGTGCTGGACCAGGGGGCAGAGGGGGCAGTGGTGGGACTCTGGACGTGTTTCCAGGTGGAGCCAGCAGCATTGCTGTTGGCTGGTACTGGGGAGCGGGTGCGCACAAGGGCGGATCCATGTGTGGGCCTGAGCCGTGCACAGAAGGAAGTTGCTGTTACCAGGCGAGGTCGATGGCGGAAGCAGTGAGTGAGGGGGAAGAAACTGGGGGCTTGGTTTTGGGCGGAGTTTGAGATGGAGAATGGGGGTGGGTTATATCTAAAGAAAAGAGTCTGGAGTCCAAGGTTAAGGTCTGGGCTGGAGACGTCTGTTTGGGAGCTGTGAGTGTAGACACGGAGTGGGAACCGCTGGACTGGAGACCACCGGGGTGGGAGTGGGTGGGGAAGGGGCCCAAACTCTGGCCTCTCCAGTTTGGGGGAGGGAAGATGAGGGGGAGACAGCAAAGGAGACAGAGGAGGAGTGGCCCGGGGGGTAAAAGGGGGTTGGGAGGGAGCGCCCCCCTGAGGTCAAGTCAGAAAGTATTCCGAGGGGGTGACAAATGGCACTTGTGATTGCTATTGTCAGGTCAGAGTGGAGGCAAGAATAATCTTTTCAGAAGCGATCACATACATGCTGCAGACCAGCCATCCTATCGGGTACTTTACAGACAGCATCTCATAGGGTCCTTGCAAAAGCTCTGTGGGTTCAGAACTGCAAAGCCCGGGATGGCTTGTGCCTCGAGCAGTCAGCAGGATCCTCCCACACCCAGGGACCTGGAGGAGGAGAGGTGGCCTGAAGCTGAAGGTCCAGACAGGGGAAGGGGGCTGACTCTCAGGGGCCGTGGGTTGGGGTGGGCAGAGGAGGAGAGTCCCTGCAGGCCCACGTTGGCACAGGCTTCCCCCGCTCCGTGCCCCACTACTGCCCTGCTCTGGGCCTTGGACTGTGGCTTCAAGGGGCGCCTGAGGCTAGGCCAGTGGTGTCCTCCTGGGTCAATGAGGCAGGGCCCCACTGGAGAAAGCTGCACTTCCAGGGCAGCGAGTTCAGAGTCTTCTATGGTTGTGCGATCACACAGCACATGTGCGTGCACACAGACACGTGTCCACACTCACACATGTCTGTGCAGTGGGGTGAAGGGTGGTCTTTGTCACCTCCCTGACTTGCCCCAGCTTTTTCCCGAAAGCAGAGACAACTGAGCAGCCTTGTGCTCCACTCCTGCTTGGTAATTAATGAGCCGCAGCCCCCATCGGGCCATCCTGGCAAGAGGAAATGGCCTTGGCACCGAGTTAACCCAAACCTGAATTATTTATCACCTGCATTCCCCTGGCTATTTAAGTGATGAGCAGCCACTGACCTTGCCTGTCTCCGCGACCCAGGTGCTTGAGGAACCCTCAGAGGGGGCCCCAGGTCCCTGCCTGTCCTCGGGCCTGGGGGAGGGGCCAGAGGGAGGGAGCAGCCTCTTCTGAGTGCCTACTCTGTGGCCAGCACGTGGGGGTCGCTTGCATCCAGTCTCAGCGGACCCTTGTGGCTGCCCCGGAAGTGGGCATGTTGTTACTTTGGCAAAAGGGAAGTTCTGAGACCCAGAGGAGAACGTGACTGACTTGTCTGGAGTGATAGGAAGTGGGGAGCTGGGATTCAAACCCAACTCTGCCTGGTCCCAGTTCAGGGCTCTGCCTGTCTACCTTCCAGGCTGACTTCCAGGCCCCACCCTGGAGGGACACAGACGTTTATTTGACAAATACCAAGGAGCCTCTACCAGGGTGGGCTGTGGGTAGGGACTAGGAAGGGCTTAGTTTTCCTTTCAGTAAAAGGTGCACACTCGGTGGGGGAATTGAACACAGGAACGTGGCCCCTCCTTGGCACCAAACTCGTCACAGTAGCTGAAGAGGAAGAAAGGACAGAAAATTTGTTTCACTGTCTTTGATGCTCTGGTGCATTTGTTTACTGCCTTTTCTGTATGTTTTTCTTCAGCGGTTAAGATCATGCGGCTTTTTAAATCCCACTTTTTAAAAACATATTTTATTTATTTATTTTTCGAGAGAGGGGAAGGGAAGGAGAAAGAGTGGGAGAGAAATATCAATGCGTGGTTGCCTCTTATGCATCCCCTGCTGGGAACTGGCCTGCAACCCAGGCATGTGCCCTGACTGGGAATCGAACCGTGATACTCTGGTTCACAGGCCCACGCTCAATCCATTGAGCTACGCCAGCCAGGGCTAAATCCCACTTTTAATGTGACCTAATCCTGTGTCATAGGTACTTTTCCATGTCCTTGCAGAGCCATGTCAAAAAGTCACCCACTTTTGTTTCGCTTAAATGTAGTACGTTATTTTTAAAGTTCAAGCAGTCGAAAAAGACATACGCAGTGAGAAGCCAGTCTCCCCACTTCCCTACCCCCCCATCCTCAGTTACCAGGTACCTGAGTCCCCCAGAGGGTCTGTGCTTTGACGCGTCTGTCCTCTTCAAACAGACCCCCCCACGGGCCATGCCGAGCGCAGCTCTGCATCTCGCTGTTTGCATGCTTCACTCGGTCCGCCTTGGCTCCAGTCCCGAATCAGTGTCCACGGGGCGGCTTCTTTGCAACAACATCCTGTATCAGCCACAGGGTAGATCACCGTTTACCTCTTTGATCGACACTGAGGTTGCTCTCAATCTTGCTGTTACATCAGCAGCACTGTGGTAAATACCCTTGTGCAAATAACTTTTTGTCCGTGGGCACAATTAGGTCTGAGATAGTGTTACTGGGTAAACGTGGTATTTAGTGGCTCTTTAATATTCCATTGTTAACAATTGGCTGGGAGAGTCATTTACGGAAGGACAGGAATCTTCCCCCCAGGTGAGGTTAGTGGGTGGTCACCCATTGCCTCGTTAAAGGGGACCCATACACATTTCAGCCACAGGCTGGATACGTGGGTATTAAAATGTCCAGCCAAGTATAAAGTTTTTTTCCTAATTATTTAGCTAATGGGAAGTTTCCAATAACTTTTTGTTCAAGACATTCATAGTTCCCATAGTCATCATTGATCATTGCTGCTTTGCTTTATATGTACACAATTACTCACATTTTTTAAAGCAAACATGTGAGGTGTTACATCAATGTGCTGTTGTTATGCAACAAACCACCACAAAAACTCAGTGGCATACACTGACGCGCCTTTAACTCACACGCCTATGGGCCCACTGGGAGGAAGCTGGTGTAGACTGGACGGTCAGCTCTGTCCCGAGTGTCTCCCATCCTCCCCTTGGGACCCGTGGGCTAGGCAGGCAGGTGGAAACGTACAAGGTCTCTTAAGGCATAGACTTAGAACTGCTCTTCTGTCAGTCCTGCCTCATTCTATTGGCCAGAGCAAATCACACGACTCAGGCCAAATTCAAGGGGCAGAGAAATACTGTGCCTCTGTAAAAGAAGACAGTGCAAAGCCAGCTAATGGTAAGGAGATGGATACAGGGAGGTTAAAGAGTTGGGGCCAAGGATGCAGTCATCCTTGGATGTTAAGTCATCCTAAATTGGCACACTTCGTGGCTATTATTGACACTTTTTGGCTGGTTAGCTATGAAGATTACCTATGTGACCTCATACCAGTGATTTTGCTCAAGGTCAGGGATGCCCGGGATGGTCTTGAGGTAGGAGCCATTGGACTCTGCCAAAACCACAGTGCAGTTCTCGGCCATGTTCTGAGGCTAAAGACAGAGGCCATGCCTAGGTGTTTGGCAGGGGTGGGGACTCAGGCCTCCTGCCCCTTGTGCTTCAGCCAGGGCTGCATCCGTGGGGTGGGTCAGGTGGCTCTCGCCCCAATGTTGTCCTTGCAGTGATGCACAGGGGCTCTTCCTCACTGCAGGGGAACATGGGTCCGGCTGCCTTCTGGCTTCTGCTATTCCTCCTCAAGAACCCCGAGGCCCTGGCCGCCGTCCGTGGAGAGGTCGAGCAAGTCTTCTGCGGTGCAGAGCCGCCTGTCTCCCAGATGGCCACCCTCCCGCCGAAGGTTTTGGACAACATGCCTATACTTGGTGAGACGGTCAGACCCTTCAGACCCTTCCCCAAAGCCTGGGTCACCGTGGCCCCCTGAGCCTTCCCCTGCGTGAGCTCCCATCGTCCAGGCTCCATCAGTGTCCTGTGGTCTAAGGTCCCCTGAGCCTCCTACTTTCTTAGACCCAGCGTCTCCATGCCTCAGTCTCAGCTGTTCATAGTCTCGGTAGGAGATTTTTTTGTTACAAATGACAAAAAAACTAACTTATGCTGGCTGAAGGGGGAAAAAAAGACTTTATTTGGGGCAAGTAACTAGAAAGTGCAGAGGTTCTAGCTTCAGGTATAGGTAGATCCAGGTGCTCTAACAATGCCATCAGAACTCAGTCTTTCTTCATCTCCCAGCCTCACTGTCTGCTGGGTCAGCTCCAGTCTCAGACTGGCAAGATGGCCACCAGAAGCTCCAAGCTGACGAGCCCGTGGCCCGTGAGGGCGGGCCTCTCTGCGGCATTCCTACCCAAAGTCCCAGGAGTGTGTCTCCTTGGCTCTCTTTGGGTCATATGCATATCTTTGCCCAGTTGGGGCTCAGAGGATTGGGATGCTCTGATTGGCCAATCATAGCACAGCCTGATCCCAGCAGTCGATAGTGGAACCACCAGCCCAACCCCTGATTGTAGGAGAGGGGTGGTCCCTAGAAGAAAATCAGGGGACTGTTTCCAGAAGGGAAATGCATGCTGGGCAGGCAGAAATAATGAATGTTGATGGCCTGCTCTCGGCCTTGTCTTCTCTGATGATCTGTGCCCCCGCCCTTTCGCACAGCTTCTCTCCAGATTAGACCCCAGTCCACCTGTCTGTGGTCTCAGAGGGACTGTAGCAGTAACCCTCCTAAGGCCTCTTGCAGTTCACCACAGTCGCACCACTGGCCTTCTTGGCCTCCCTGTGGGATGGTGGACAAGTCATGCCCCCTTTCTGAGCCTCCTCATCTTCCTCTGTAAAACGAGAGCTGGGGGGTGGCATTTGAGTGGCTCAGAGGACAGCTGCTGACCCTTCCTTGTCCCAACCTGGTGCAGACAGCGTGCTGAGTGAGAGCCTCAGGCTCACAGCTGCGCCCTTCATCACCCGAGAGGTCGTGGTGGACCTGGCCCTTCCCATGGCGGATGGGCGGGAATTTGCCCTGCGGCGTGGTGACCGCCTCCTCCTCTTTCCATTCCTGAGTCCCCAGAAGGACCCAGAAGTCTACACAGACCCAGAGGTAAGTAGCATTTCAGGGACCATGGGGAGAAAGCAGTGGCTTCCAGCTGAGCCAGGTCTGAGTGGCATCCTCACTCTGCTGTGTGACCTTGTGTGACCTTGTCCAGGTGACTTCACCTTTCTGTGTCTCTGTTTCCTCACCTGTGAAATAAACCTCATAATAGCACCTGCCTCATAGGGTTGTTGGGAAGATTAAATGAGATTATATACGGAAGGCCTTCATCGTGCCTGGCACACGGTGAACGCTTTTAAAATGATAGCCGAATGGTTTTCCTTTTTTCAGAATGTTATAACGCCAGCTTCTCAACCCTTTTGCCTCTTCCTGGAGGGGGAAACTTGCACAATTTCTAATAGATTTGGGTGCTTCCTGTATGCCAGGTATACTGTTCTATATGCTCATCTCTCCATCCATTCATTTATCCCCCATCTATTCACTGATCCATCCATCTGTCCGTCTGCCCATCCATCCTCCAGCCATCCATCCATCCACCCCCCCATGGTCCTTTCATCCATCAGTCTGTCCACTGGTGTGTTCACCCAGCACTTACTCTGTGTGAGGTCCTGTTCTCAGATACAGTTCTCACCTTACCACTGTACAGTGCAATGGAATTGGCATTCTCTTTTTAAAAGTAATGTCTTTAAAATACAAAAGTAACATATACTTATGGAATAGAAATATATAGACATGTATTTAAAGGTAAAATTTGTCTTCTTTCCCTTCCTCTCCAGTTCTACAGAGTTCCCTAATTATGGTTGGGAGTGTGTCCTTTTAATTATTTGGATGCCTTTAGAGATGTATATATGCTCACACACATGTGGATAGATAAGTGTGTGAATAGGGTCATACAAAGCATGCCATCCCAAAACTTGCTTTTTTCACTAATAGTCTTAAAATTTTTACCCTGGCTGGTGTGGCTCAGTGGACTGAGTGCTGGCCTGTGAACAAAAAGGTTGCTGGTTCTATTCCCAGTCAGGACACCTGCCTGGGTTGCAGACCAGGTCCCCAGTAGGGGGCGTGCGAGAGGCAACCACATGTTGATGTTTCTCTCCCTCACTTTCTCCCTTCCCCTCTCTCCAAAAATAAATAAAAATCTTATTAAAAAATTTCCTCCCGCGTCAGCACACACAGATCAAGCCCAGCCTTCTAAATAGCTGCCACACCTAATTTTTTAACCAATCCCTTATTCGTTGCCCTTTATATAGTTTTCTGGTTTTTTCCTCTGGTGAACAAGACCACAGTGAACATCCTCATAGCTTTTCTCCATGCACGGGTGTTGTGGGGGTGGAGTCAGACATGGGCCTGCTTCCTCTCTCAGGTATTCAGATATAACCGGTTCCTGAACCCTGATGGATCGGAGAAGAAAGACTTTTACAAGGACGGGAAGCGACTCAAGAACTGCAGCATGCCCTGGGGGGCTGGGCACAACCAGTGCCTGGGCAGGGGCTACGCCACCAGCAGCATCAAACAGTGAGCATCAGGGGCTGGGGAAGGGGAGACCCTGCTCTGCCGGGTGGGCCCGCACCTTCTCTCCCAAGACCGCGAGGCAGGCCAGGGGAAGGGTTAGGACGGGCAGAGGCTTCGAACGGGCAGCCCCTGAGCCTCGTCTTGCCCACAAATCTACTTTTCTGTGTTTTTAAAAACGTGTGCTAACTCGTAAGAATCAGAAGAGCTCATGTAAAAAAAACCCCAGCTTTCTGATTTCTTTTGAAATAATCAGATCTGGCAACAGGTTCTTCCTGCAAGCCCAGTGTCCGAATGTCGAGCTCCCTGAATACCAAACATGGCATCTGTGCAGCTGACCATGGCCGTGCGTCTGTGGCTGCTGTGCTGCGCAGAACCTCTTGGCAGGAGCTGGCCCAGCGTCCTCACACCCTTTGGTTCTTTTAAGGCCTCCTTCATTCTCTTCCCCAAGAGCCTTGGCCCCCAGGTCACTAACCGGTGGGACCCAGGGTTAGGACATCCACCTTGTCCCTCTGTCCAGCCCCTGTGCCATCGTACGTTGGGTGACGTGTTTCCTTGACAGTAAAATGGGGTGCTGGTCATACTACATCCCAGGGGTGTTGGGACAAAGGAAAGGGATCTTTCTAAATTTAACCCACTGCCTGGTTCATTGTCCGCACACAATACATGTGAGTTATTATTGTAATTACTGGTATCACTACTATGAACGGGCAGGCAGTATGCTAAGTGAATGGGCACGTTGCATTAACCTCTCGGCCTCAGTTTTTTTCCAGCAGTAAAGTGGAGATCATCAGATAGCCGGTTCTGCTCTAATGCTTCATGAGCATTCCGAACAATCAGTGGGCCGTGAGAAATCAGGCATCAAACACCACAGGGGTAGTGCGAACAAGGGTAGGGGGGCCAGGGCCCAGCAGTCAGAAACCACCACGTCAGTGACCCGTGAAGAAGGAGATAAAAACCTAGGGGAAAATGGTAGTAGAGGTTTACACATGTTAAATGGTTAAGAAATACCCAAGCGCTACAGTAAACATGGTACTTTATTCTTAAAATGACCTGAAGTTCGCAGTGGAAGTGGACAGCGGATTGCAGCCGTGAGCTACTATGACGTGTGGGAGGAGGGTGATCTGAACCTGGGCACTGATGTGGGTGAGGTGGTGCATGACCCCCAAAACACAGGCACGCCCACGCCGTGGACTGAGGTCATTGGTGGATAGAGTTTGGGTGTGTGTGCGTCTTGTGAGTTCCTACTCAGTTCTGCTCAGCTGGGGCCAGGCTTTTGCATTTTGCTTATGTTGCTCACCGGTCAAATTTTCCATAAGCTGAGGTGAAGTTTGCATTAAGCTTCACTTGTTCCCTAACACATCAGCCACCTTGGAGCAAACTCAGGGGTTCAAAACAAGTGGCACAGCACAGCCGACTGGAGCTACTAGTTTCTAAAGCTTCTGGACAGGTCGGAAAACAAGGGAGATAATGGATGCTAAATATTTAGCACAGTGTCCAGCACGTAGCGTATCAGTAAGTTAGCTAACTTGTTATTTTTTTTTTAACTTGTTATTTTTATCTCACTTAATTATCATGACAACCCCACGAGGTAGATGTCAGTCTAACACTGAGGTGAAATCATTGGCCAGGTCACGCACCCGGTGAGTGGAGGTACCCGGAGGCAAAGCCAGGTGTGGGTCCAGGGCCCCCTGGCATCCTACAGCTTCAGAGCCAGAAGGGATATAGCCCACCTTTTTTAGCTTCTTTGACCAGAGAGAAACTGAGGCCCAGAGTGGGAGAGAAACTCGATGAGGGTCAGACATCCTTAAGAGGCACAGCCCGGCTATCCCGTCCGTAGTGCAGACTTTGCTCTGTCCTCTTCCCCCTTCTTCGTTCATTCAGTAAGATTCAGGAGTCCTTGCCCTGCGCTCTGCCTGACACTGGGCCCCTGGCCCTCAGTGGGGGGATGGCGGTGGGACAGAGCAGGTGAAGATCCCGTGCTCTCCCTTCCTGACACAGGCGGTGCCGAGTGAGACAAGGCAGGTGGGCGGGGAGCAGCCAACGCCAGGCAGGGCAGCTGCCACCTTTTTTTTTTTTTGATGGACACACCGATTACATCATACACACAGTGCATGTACTTACCCCGATGCATTTCCAGGAGATGGCAGGCAGGAGTGCTCCTTCTCGCAAAGCTGGTCCGTTCTGGCAGTTTTCCCACAGACCCGGGCAAGTGTCTCCAGGGAGGGCTGCCTATTCCTAATCTCACAAAGGCAGCCTGTGGTTTTGCAGCGGCCCCGACCGGGGCAGGCACTAGGGGTTCCAGGGCTTTGGGCATGGGGAGATAGGCGGGGAGGGGAGTCAGGGCGAGTCATTGTTCATACTGGTCAGGAGAAGCTGGTCTGTGCCGGGCCAAACGACCCCCGTCTCTGGCTTGTGACAGCAAAGGCTTTGTTCCCACTCGCGCATGGGCTGTGGGTTTGGGGGTTGCTTCCCCTCCATGCAGAGACTCAGCCTCTTTCCCTCTCAACATGAGGCCCACACAGCTGCCATAGGAAGGGAGAGCTGGGCGTCCAGCCCCTGCTCCGATATGCTGTGATGTGAACTTGACAGAGGTCGCTTCTGCTCACAACCTGTCAACCGGAACCAGCCCTCGTGTGGGAGCCCCCGGGCCATCTGTGCCCCGCTCTCTCACTCTCCTTCTCCCCCTTTTCCCCAAGGGAGAGTTGGGGTCAGACTCCAGAGGAAGGCATCGCTGTCCTGCCTTATTCCAAACATGCCCCCGTGCTTCCTCTCCTTCACGCCCTCAACGCCGTCTCTTTGCAGATTCGTGGTCCTTGTGCTGATGCACTTTGACCTAGAGCTGGTCAACCCAGATGTGGAGATCCCGGAGTTTGACCTCAGCAGGTATGGCTTCGGGCTGATGCAGCCAGAACACGACGTGCCCGTCCGTTACCGCGTCCGGCCGTGAGCTCCAGGAGCAGCCGGGGCTCCACACGCTCGCCCCCACCCAGCCCACACCCGACTGATTGCCCAATGTTCCGTGTCTGCATCTGAGCTTTGAATACCTGACGGCTCCAGCTGTAGCACTTTCCCTTTTTTCCTGGAAGGCTGGTCCAGGGGAAGGGAAAAAAGGAAGCCCAGAGAAGGTTTAATGAGGCTCTTTCTGCTCCTAGCTCTCCTTCCTCCTTTCATCTTATGACACGCACAAAAGCTAGGGCAGAGAGGACAAACAGGAGTCCTGATTGCCACTCCCCCAACTCCCAGAGGGGCCACCATCCTAGTCCTTGACAATGGTGCAGTTGAGGCCTTAACCACTCAGAGCAGCTGCTGGCTGTGAAAAGGCCAGTTGGGACCTAGCAGTGTGTCCCGTGCAATAAGCTCATCCCCAAGTTATTAAACTAGCTGCAGCCAAAGGAGTCCTCAGCGGACCTGTTTCCAGTCCCCTCATCTCTCCATTTGCACTGAGTCTTGAGGAAATGCAGGAGGGTTTTCCCAGAGCTGGTGCAGCCAAGATTCAGGTCGTGGGCTTCCTCTGAGAAGCCCACCAGGCTCTGAGCAGTACAGCTCACTGTTCTGGAGTCATGGGCTCTCTGTGGGACAAGCTTTGCCAATGCTGAGACTGGAGATGTGAATAAGACAGGCCCAGGCCCCCCAGGACGGTGCAGATGGAAGGAAGCAACCAGGCTCATTGGACTGGGCCAACCAAAGAAAGAGGAGGCTTTGGTTTCCTACATTCTACATCAGAGGCTCCAGGCGTGAGCACCATCCAGTCTGCAGACTTGTTTTGTTTGGCCTGCACTTAGAACATATTGTCCATCGGTTGTTTTCCTACCATCTTTGGGAGAGTTGATTCAAAGTGTCCAGCTTCTCTTGAAAATGTGGAGGATCTGGGCACCCTGGACCGCCTCCCTGATCCGGACTTGTGCACACTGGTTCACCAGGGTTTCTACTTGGTGGAATTTTTTCTTTCTGCTTCTCTCTCCATTCATTGTACCTCCTGGCCCATGAACACGTTCCAGTTTGAGAAGCCTGTTCTAACTCTCACAAGTGACCTTTTAGGAGATAGCAGGAACTGTCTCCTTCTAGCTGGTCTTCGGTTCACTGGTCCATCTTCCTGCATGCACGACCTTCTGAACAAGCAGATCAATGATGAAAACTTGCCTTTGTATCGATTTAGGGGGAGAAGGAGTTCAAAGAGAAAAGTTGCCTAGAAACCTTTATGATGATAGTGTTATTAATATTAGGCTCTGTTTACTGAGGACTCTCCAAATGCCCGTGACAGGCACAGTGGACACAGCGTTTCTACTTCTCACATCATCTCTGCAAAGAGGGGGTTGGTTGTTTGTGCCTTTTGGCCGACGAGGAAACAGGCTCCGAGAGGTGCAGCGGCTGCTGGGCTCGCACAGCTTACCAGCTGGTGGAACTCAGCAGAGGTATTGTCCCACTAGCAAATGCATCCCCGGGCTCAAGGGGGCGGGTGGTGGAGGGACAGTTCTGTTTGGCCTCAGAGCCAGAGGCACCCATGGGTGGATGCATCTCGTGAGATGCACACACACATACGTACATACAGCTGGGTCCCTTCAGCTTTAGCTGAAGGAGAAGAGAGGACCTGAGATCTCTGAATGTTTGAGGCATCGGTCTCTTCCTGGAGCAGCACTGGGGCTTGGGAGCTTCCCTAGCTCTCAGCTTCCAGGCGCCCCCAGGATTCCCAGACAGATACTGTGATTGGCAGGAGGCGGGATATCCCCAGGGAAACCCATCTTCACGCATGGGTGACCCCTGCTGCCGCCTGCTTCTTAACTCCGCAGGAAATCAGGGCTGGCGGCTTTCAGTGGGAAGATGGAGCTAGTTTCCATGGCAACCCTCAGCTGCCTCATCCTGGCTTGCAAGTGAAGGAAGAAGGCCGGCCAGCAGAAATAGCAGCAGGAAGGTTTCTATGCGAGGCTGCTACCCTGGGGTGGCGGGGGGAAGCCCTCATGACTCTCCTCTTCCAAATCAGGGACCCTCTGTCACTGAGATTAGATGTGGACACACTCACCTGTGTCCACAAAAGGGCCAATTTCCTGTGAAGGTGGCTCACCTCCTTGAAGCCACAGTCATTAGCAAGAGACCATTGTCCCACCAGGCAGCTCCAGCTGGTACCAGAGATCTTGAAGGGCAGTTTAGGAGGCAGTGATTTGAGCCTTCCTCTATTTTCATCTTTCTCTTTTTCTTTATTCATCTTCTTCTTTTTTCTAAAGATAAAAAAGAGGGAGAGCTGAGTGGGTTGGCTCCTTGCTACAGGTCGGTTAGGAAGGTACCCGGACGCCATTGCTTTTCTTCATACTTTGCTTTAGAATCCCGCAACTGCAGGACCCGTGTTAGAAACACTCAGGTTGACCCAGTGAAGTGTTGCCTTAACATCGCCATATTATTTTTGCTACCTTCTCTGTTGCTGTTGCCAGATATTTGCCTTTAAACAGACTTGTTTTTTTTTAAACTTATAGTTGTTTGTAAAGGGAACTTTTATTTTGATCACTACCATGAATGGACCAGGTGTACAGCTCCTTGTCAGAAATGCACAGTGACTGTGAAAACTAAAATTGCTCGGCGGGGGTCTCCATGCGGGTGTCACCATGGCTCAGAGCCTGAGATCTGTCACTGTTCGAGTGTGGTGTTGAAGCCAGGCCAGCACCACCCTGAGACTTTCTCCTTGACAGTCACTGGATGAAAAGGACAGGTAAAGGACTGAGCTGCTCTCCACGTGGGTCACCTGTGCATTCCACCTGCTCTGAGAGCCACCCAGGGTCTTCGGCCACCAGTGGGCCCTGAGCAGGCTGAGCTGGTGATGTCCCACCTGCCCATTCTCCAGATGAGCAAGTTGAAGTATCTTGCCAGAAGTCACTGATTTTGATGTGTTCCTTTAAAAATAAAGAATGTTTTGTGAGTAGCAGTGATTGTGATGCCTTGCTGTTTAAATGAGTCCTATTTTCCCATAATATTGTTGAGCAGAAACGTGCTGAAATACACGAAATCATCCTTGTTTGTGAAACTGCCTCCGAGTGTGATTCAGATGGAGAGAGCCAGCTGTGTCTGGAATGGCCGAGTTAGCTGCTGGGACAGGAGCACGGAGCGCCTGCCCTGGGCCCAGCTCTGAGACAGGGCCCTGAGGACGAGGCCATGCCTCCGGGACAGGCATCATTACCTCCATCTGTACAGGGGAAGGAGCTGAGGGGCAGAGGAGGAGGAGCGGCTTGCCCGAGATCATGCGCCTAGGAAGTAGTAGATGCAGGATTCAAGTGCAGGCCCCCCTGCCCCCTGAGACTGTCCCCATCACTGGTCCTCCTGGTGGCAGAGAGGGGCAGGGTACCCATGGAGGGGACTTTGGGGTGGAGGCTCACAGGCCCAAAGCAAAAAAGCTGCCTTAAAAATTCATTACATGTTCTCTGTCCTTTACCACATGTAGGGATTTGTTTAAATTTTAAGAAGGCAGGGGGATGAATTGCATTTGGGAAAAATTAAAAAGAGAGAAAATTATTTTTTTTCCTCCCAAATATTTGAGTAAGAGATAATGTACAGTGGCAAATGTCCCCCCTCCCCCACCATCAGTTTGTGAGGGGGCCAGGCAGGCACATCTGGTGGGATTGGATTTGGCCAGGAGTGACAGGCATGTCAAGTAACAGCCACATTTTCACATTCAAACGCTCCGTTGTACACAGCAGACATTTCTTTGTCTGCAGGAGGATACAGGAGAGCAGAGGTGGGGTGGCTTCTCCACACTCACCAGGCCCCTTCCTTCTGGTGCCTGCGGCAGCTGCTAACCTGTGGTTTCCACCTCGGGCCCCACCATTGCTGCGTGAGCTCCAGCCATTCTGCTCACATTCCAGACAGCAAGAAAAGGCCGGAAGCAAAGGAGAGAAAATCTGCTGCTGTCCCATTGGTCAGGACTTAGTCACATGACGCTCCTTGCCGCACAGCAGGCTGGGAAATAATAATCTTTCTCTGCAGAGAGGCACTGTACCAGGCACCGGGGAATGGGGAGAAATAGGGAGTGAGTACTAGTGGGTAGGGGGTTTCTTTTGGGGCTGATGAGATGCTGAGATTGAGTGTGGTGGTGTCTGGACAATTCTGTGAATTTATGAAAAACCATTGAGTGACTACTTGTACACTTCGAATGGCTGAATTTTATGGTTAACTACATCACAATAAATGGTTTTATATTCTTTGAAGTAAATATTTGAGCACCTCACATTGCTAGGTACTGTTCTAGGCAATGGGGACCTGTCAGTGAGTAAAACAGAACCCCTAAAAAATTCATCCTCATCAGCTAGGTAAATGAAATGAGTGAAGCATAAAGTATGTTGTGATGGTAAGTCCCATAGAGAACAAAGGTGGAAAGGGGGATGGGGAATTGCAATTCTAAGTAGGGTGGCAGGGAAGGCCTCTCTAAGGTGACCTTTGAACAGAGAGTAGAAGGAGCAAACCATGTGGGTATCCAAGGCAAGAATGGTCCAGAAAGATGGAACAGCAGATTCAAAGGCCCTGCATTAGGAAGTTCTCAGGCATTTTCCAGAAACAGGGAGGAGGCCAGTGTGGCTGGGAGCCATGGAGGGTTCTGGGTAGAGGAGGGACATGGTCTGACTTGAATTCGAGCAGGATCCCTCTCACTGTGTGTGTGTGAAGAATGGGCTGTGGATGGAGTGGGCAGGAAGCAGGGAGACAGGCAAGGAGAAGACTAGGAAAGTCCAGGGAGATCTCTGCATTCACCGATGTTATTTGCAGACAGAACAGACAATGCAACAAAGAAGCAAGTCAACGTGAACTCAGTGTCAGGTACTGAGAGGACCCTGAAGACAAGCAAACAGCACAAGGGGATGTGGTGGAGACATGGAGGTGGAGGTAGCCGTGGCCTTGGACATGGTCAGGGAAGATCTCTCTCCAAGGAGATGGCAGATGAGCTGAGGCTTGAGTGAAAAGTAGCCGGCCTCGAGAAGAACCAGGTCAAGAACGTTTCGGGGAAAAGACGCAGCAAGTGCAGAGGCCCCAAAGAGGCAAAGGGCTTGGTGAGTTGAGGAACAGGGAGGCCGGAAGGCTGTTAGGCTGGGAGGCTGGGAGGCCAGGGCCTGCAAGGGGCGGTAAGAGATGTGCATGGGGTGAACCTCAGCAGCCAGTGCGAGCAGCCTGCTCTCAGTCTAAGTGCTCTGGGAAGCCATTAGAGAGTTGAAGTAGGAAAGTCAACAATAGCTTTCCTTTCAATGGAATCAATTTAGCTTTATAAGAATCTCATTCCATCGTCCCTATTTTTCTCATTCCATGGTGGACCGATGAACATTCAGACACCTTTAATGCACTGGTGTTTGGGAATCAAGGCCATTTGAGAAGTGACCCAGAGGGGTGTGTCTGCAGGGAAGGAGGGTGATGACTGGGCAGGGTGCTATCCTGTCACCCTGGGAACCGTCCCTGGGACCTTAGAGTGGCCTGGGAGAGACAAGGTTGGTGCACCCACTTCGAAAACCTGGGACAGTGAACACTTGCAATGATCAGGATCTCTGTGTGCCTTTATTTCAGGTGTTCTGAGGGCTGCCCACTGGGGGAAAATGTTCATCTCCTGGCCAAGAGCCAAACCCCCCAACCTCCTTGCCAAAATAACCCTTCCAATATAGGCAGCGATGTGCTCAGCCCAACCCCCTAATCAGTCCAGCAGTAGGTCTCAAGCACCTCTCGTCAGTGATTGAGCTGGTGGTAGTCATGTGACCCAGTAAAGGCCAATGAGGTGGTTGGGGAAGTCTGTGGGGAGCTTCCAAAGTGTGAGAGAAGCTCCATCTTCCTCCCCATCTTGGAGTCGTCATGTGAGAAGGAGGCCATGGCAGCCGTCTTGTGATCATGAGGGTAAGAAAATGTCAGCAAAATAACCAAGAATCCTGAGGCCTTTGAGCTGCTCCTGTGACAGACCTGGGATCACGTGTGTGTGGATTTTGTGTTAAATGGGGTAACAGGAGTAATAACTGTCATTACTGTTTAGACTCTAATTAGAGGCCATGTACCGTGGTGGTTCCAGCACCGGCTCTGCCTGGGTTTGAATGTCTGCTGAGCCACGAAATACCAGGGTGATTTGGGGCATCTCTCTGTGTCCCAGCCTCTGCACCTATAAAACAGGGATAATGGATAATAATAACATCTCCCTCATAAGCTTTTTGTGAGCTCTAAGTGCATTAATATTGTCATTCACAGCCAATGGAGGAGATGGAAAAATGAATATTCTCAGTTAGCCTCATAATACAGTTTCTCCAGGGAAACAGTATCTGACCCAGATCATGAAGAGGCAGGAAAAGTGATACCGGATCTGGGTTTTGAAACGTGAATAGGAGTGCTGGCTGGTGTAGCTCAGTAGACTGAGTGCCAGCCTGTGAACTGAAAGGTTGCCAGTTCAATTCCCAGTCAGGGCACACGCCTGGATTGCGGGCCACGTCCCCGGTAGGGGGCGTACAAGAGGCATCCAGTTGGTGTTTCTCCCCCTCTCTTTCTCTCTCCTTTCTCTAAAAATAAAAATATGTATATTTAAAGGGTGAATAGAAGTTCCCATGTGGGAAAAATGATGGTTGGGGTCAGGGAAGCATTCTAAGAGTGGAAGCCTGAGCAAAGACTCTGTATCCATTATCTGTAGCTGTGTAACAAACCCCCTCCCCACAAATGACATTATTTTTATAGTTTCTCATGCTTTTGTGGGCTGACAGGGACTCAGCTGGACAGTTCTTTGGCTGTTCTCGCTTAGGTTGGCCCTCAGGTAGCTGCAGTCAGGTGCCAGGGTCAGAGGGAAACCCGTGACATCAGAGATGGTGTCTTGCCAGGGCTGACTAACAGGCTGTGCTCAGCTGGGATGCTGCAGTGGCCGAGTCACTCTGTCTTTCTGTGTAATTTCAGGGCTTCTCACTCTCAAAGTGGCCTCCCCACGTGGTCTCTCCGTCTGGGGAGCACAGCGGGGGTAAGCCTTGTGCCTTTACAGGTCCAGCTGGTAGCTGGGGGAGGTTGGGTTAGAGCCAGGATAAAACTGAGTGGGGCAGATCACAGAGGAAACAGGTGAGATCGGGAAGTGGTGGGCAAGGAAGACAGAGATGGGCAGGAGAGACAGCAGTCCCCAAAGACTGAAGAGCTGGATTTTAATGGACTATTACCCTAGGAGAATCAGTTGATCAGCTCTTGATCTATGTGGCTTTGACTTCTCCCTTTTGCTGAGTCACTCCTTTCCCAGCACATCTTGGATTCCCAGGCTCCTCTGTGGGGAAGACATATTAGTTTACCTCTAATTGCTCTGCTGGAAGCCCGTGCCTTGGTCCATCCACGCCTGCATTTCATCATTGCTTGGCCACTAACCCTGGGAATTAATGGCTTTGGCAAAGTCCAGGCCACAAAAGAGCTCAATGGACTACATGCAGGTTTACCTATCTCCCTCCGTGGGGACCCTCTGGTGGCAACCGCATTTCCTCCCAGGGAGGGCGCCCAACGGGCCATTTCAGGGCTTAGCACAGAACATTACAGGTAGTAAACACTCAGAAATGTTAGATGGTGGCCAAGTGAGTGAATGGATTCAAGGGTAGGTGGATAAATAGGTGAGTGGGTGGGTAAGTGGTGCATAGATGCATAGGTATTTGGGATGGATGAGTGACTGAATAGGGGGGTGAATGAGTAGATAGGTAGATGCATGGGTGGGTGAATGGGTGAGTGAGTTGATCGGCAGGTGATTGGGCATATGGATGGATGGATGGCGGAGGAAGGGATAGATAAGTTGGTGGAAAGATGAATGATGTATGGCTGGCTGGATGGATGGAGAAGTAGTAGGTGGATGACTGGGTAGAAGGATGGATAGTGGTTAGAATATGTGAATAAATAAAAGAAAGATGAGTGGTGGGTGCATGGATCAGTGGGTGAGTGGGCAGATAACTGGGTGGG